ACCGTGGCCTCGGAGCCGGAGCCGCTCGCACGAAGGCTTGGCGGCTGCGGCGGTTTTTTTTGTTTTTCTTCGGCGGCTGCGAGGGGTTGGGAATGGCCCAGGGGGTCAAACCCTGCAGTGGGATGGGTGGAAAAAATGGCCCCGGAGGCTGAATCCTGGGGTGCGATAGGTTCGAAGGATTTGGGCCGTCAAAAGCGCTTGGCGAGTGGTGCGGCGTCAAAATTTTTGGGGATTCCAAGGAACTTTCGGTGGCACAAAGTCTGGAGTGGCGGAAAGCTAGTAAATGTTCTTGCCGGTGCGGTAGGGAATGACAGTTCCAGAAAGATAAAAATAAACCGTGTGGGGATGCCCTGAAAGGAAACCAGAAGGCATGGGTTGGTGGGGTCGCTGGTTCGATAGGCATGGTTGGCTTCCTTTGAGGGAATCCGCATCCGGTTCATTCCCAACACCCGGAAGGTCATTTCCTACTGAGCATCAGCAAGTAACCCCTGCATATGGGGCTGCTCCCCTCCAAAAGTGGTCTGCATCCCCAGAACCAGGGACGCCCCCCATATTAGAGACCTGGGGTCAACATGGAATCTTATAGTTGGGCGCGCCTGTGTGGTTGGGACTCCCCGTTGCCAGCGGACATACATTTGGCATGCCATGCCACAACTATGAAGACAAGCAGTTTGTCAAAACAACACCACCAGGGGAATCAATGCAGCACAACGCGTGACAATTCTCCTGGATGCCCTTTGCGGGACAACCTATGACCTATGAAGGGCGAAAGGTCGCTCACCCAACATGTCCAATAAGCCCGCCCCTCTGCAATGGAAAACCCACGTCCAAAAGAAGACTCGAATATAGTTAAATGACATCCTGACAGGGCCTTGGTATTGCTTCTGATCCATTCACAGCAGCCTTAATTCAAGTAGCTTGGTTACTTGTAACCCCCTGCACAAAGTTTTGTGGGTCGCCAATCCCAGCTGTTTCAACCAAAAAGCCAAAGTCCAAAGATCCGCTACCACATCGCCATCAAGCTACATGCTCGAAGTTCTCAATCGACTTGGATTGCAGCTGTGCCCTTCCCCTTGGGAACCCTGAGCCCGCACTGGCTGGCCTCGGTCTGCAGTAGGTGCAAAGTGTGTGTGAGAGAGAGCACCTACGAGTTCGATTCAACATTAGTCACGTGAAAATCGATCATACTTTCCTGGCCCATGGGTGATTTTCCCCACTAAATGGGTGAAAGTGGTCATTCTTGGTGGTTTCCCCTGAATGGTCACCCCATGTAGTCCGCAGCTTTTGATCAACTTTCATGTTGACGTTTTTCGCGCCGAGCGTCTAGGGCGTTCACGTAGACAGGGTGCGTCCTGCCCAGGAGCATCTCCTGCAAATGTGGTGACCAGTTGCAGGGAAGTGCCCACCATCGAAATGTTGGAAATCATCCAATCTACAATCGACCTGCTTCAAACCACCGGAAGCCGACAGACCCCACTGCAGGCCCAACCAAGCCAACAAGCAGGTAAAAACAAAAACGACAACACAAAGCACAACACGCGTGCGCCGCTTGCAAGTCGCCCTCGCCGTGACCCGCAGTTGGGTCCGTGTTGTTGCAGAAGTCCACCGCAAGATCCAGCGCTGCTTGCTGCTGCCCCGTCTTGAAGAGATCCACGGCCTGGATTTGACCCAAACGGTTTGCGCAAGGAACGGCAGGTGAGTTTTTGGCATTGTGGCCCTCCTAAACTGAAACATTGTGTAAACCACTCGTTCAAATGGTGAAACATGGTGAACCTTTCCCTTGAAACTCCACGACAGTGGCACGTGGCACGGGCCTTCAAAACTCGCGAATCTGGTAGGCTTGATCGAATGCTACTTGCCCGCATGGAGCAATTGGCAAAGCAGAGCAGGGGGAAGGTGATGCCAACTAGCCGCCAGGCTCACAAGCAAGCAAGCGATGGCAACCATGGCTGAACGACCATGTACGAAGGACAGCTCCGAAGAAGTCCTGCAAGCAAGTGCCCCCTGAATGTGGATCCAACACCCTAAAGCTGGGCAAGCTGCTCGCGGTGTTCAAGGTCAGTCAAACCCAGGGCCTCAAAGGCAAGCACAACTTGGAATCACAAGGGGGGGTGGAAGGTCTACCTGAAAACTCGTGCCCCTTTGGATGCCTACAGAGCAAGGCCGCAAAAGCCGCCTTTTGTTTTGACGTGCTGGCGCATTCCCGGGGCACCCAAACTACGCAGCTCATGCCTTCCCAATGCTGATGGCCATGATAAACAAGTGCTTTCGCGGATTTTTGGAAGGGAAGCCCACCCGACTTCTGCTAAACATCTGGTTAGAAGATCCTTGCGGTCTCAGAAACTCAGAGCCTCTGCCGTCATCGTCTCCAAGTCCAGGTTGGGCAGCAGCCGACAGGGCGCCGAGTAGCTGCGCGCCAACTGCCGGACCGCCGGACAACGAGGAGGCACGCTAAACGGACGAAACTTGTGAGGCCGGCCGAAGGCGCCTCATTGCCTAGTTTGGCTGGCCATGGTGCGATTCCCAAAGCAAACAGTTGGCAATGGCTGACGTCAGCCGATTGTTTTAAAGTAGTCATAGTTCTGGGCTGCCCTCAGGTCGGCGAAAAGTTTTCAACTTTTCGTGGGCGAAATACGGAAATCCGTCCCCACGAAACACCAAGAGGCGAAAAGGTTTCACGGAACCGAATGGCTGGGAAACCTGGCGCTTTTGGTGCTGGCCAGATCATGTCCGCGAGCTTTCCCTCAAAAAGTCCATTCTAGGGGTTGATTCCTTTTCCATTCTTTTCAGCCATCGTTCTTTTCAAAAACCAAGGGTTGATTCCCCATTTTTTTTCAGCCAGACTTTTTTTTCAAAAACCAGCAATTTCCCCAGGGTTTTTGGTGGTTTTCTAGAAGGAAGGGTCCCTGGAAAGAATGGGGCAGATACCCCTATAATTTTTGGAGATCTTCCTGGCCCGTGCCTCTCAACGAGGTTGCTTTGCCGGCATGATTGAAACCAAGGAAACCAAAGGAAACGAAAGGAAACCAAAGGAAACCAAAGGAAACCCTTGACCTTACAGCACCTGGCGCAAATGTTAAGCTGACAAACGAATCCCGCCTGCGGCTCCTTGCGACCATGGAGGGCCTGCGACGGGATGGCGGCAACGAGCTGATTCCCTGCCTGGTAATGTTGACCCCATGCCAACCAACCAACCCGTTTATTCAGAGGGGGGTGTTGTTGTAGAATGGGGGGGGTCGGGTGTTCCCCATCCAAAAGTGGTCTGATTCCCAACTAATCCCAGGCACACACTTCTACTACTAACCTGGGGGGGTGATTAATATGGGCTCAACATTACATATCGTTACTCTAGGAACTTCCTTTGGAGTCAGTGGACCACCAATCCAACGCTACGAAGCTCATAGCAACTCGGGGCTGCGACACCTGCACAAAAGCCTATGCCTGACCACAATTTGCGAGACGAGGGTCGGACCAAGGGACACATCAGCCTATCCTACAGGAATGCCCAGTGAGCCCACGCCAAAATGCACCAGAACGTGCCACACGCGCAGACACAATATCCAAACATTGGCCTGCTTCGGAAACGGCTCAAACGGGTTCGTCCATCGTGTGTTTCCGGAGATGCCACACCACAGCCTCTTTCCACATGCCCAACCCAAGCAATTACCTACAGCATTCGCTTGCGGCGGACTTGGGTAAAGCACAAGCTCAAACCAAATCGCGCCGAGGAATGTTCCCGGATCACCAGGCATGGGATAAGAGAAGCAGTTTCACGCTCTGGCCATGCAAACCCAATTTGAGCATTGACAAGGACACATTGCCTCGGCGAACTCACTCGCAGGGTGTCTTTTTGAGGGTACCTAGTTTTTGGTGGTTTAAAAGGGACACATAAGGAAATACCGCAGCCATTTTGGGCGATCCCCCACAGAAAAAGACACACCCTGTGCTACAGAAAGCTAGTTTCTGGAAAGGGTCTGTCTTGCAAACGTCTGGTTGCATGGCTTCACGGGCTCCCATCGAGCTTCCCCCGACCTCCGAGTCGGAGAACGACATGGCCGAAGCGCTCGCCCCACACGCCGCCGCCGAAATGTGTTTCTCTTTTTGCACAAGTGGTAAGCTGGCTCCAAGTAAACCTCCTAACCCAACTGGTGTGTCATTCTTTTGTGGATTTGCAACTGGGAAGTCTTTCCTTGTTGTTGTTCCCTTTAAATGTAAACCCAAAGAGGGTACCCTCATGTACCCTCAAAACAAGCACACCAAAACTATGCACGCCGTATCTGGTGCCTCCACTGGCCAACGGGCCCGAAGCCCGAACAAGAGAAAAACCCTTGATAGCCTTTCAGCAGGCTACCGACTACTCTTTGTGGGGTCTCCTGTGTCTCCTCCGGCCTCGCTGAATGCATGCCTTGTCTCTTTGTGCTTTGATGAGGCGGGTATTGGAGTCATCGCATGAGCTCTAGTCAGCTCAATAACTTTGCTTACACCTTCTTAGTTACAGCGCCAACTACCTCGCGGGATGCTGAAACCGCGCAGTTCCTTGAGCACGCGCGTGTTGGCCCACACCAGTCCCACATGTGAAGACCAGCACACAAGCAATCCTCAACACGACCAAAAAAGTAAACTCACCATTCTTGGGGTACCCCTATTTTCAGACACGGCCAGTTGTCAGCAATGTTCAGGAAATCTTGCCTGAAGGTGGCACAAGCACTTCTCACCCATGCAAGGGTTGATGTAACCGCCTTCTGCTGCCGGGAGCCTAAGCCCGCTCCAAATTTCTTGGCAAACCACAAGATCACCACCATAGAGCCGAATCTCGGATGCTTTCTGCTCCCCTGCTAAAGGTCTAACTTGTTTAGTGGTTTAATTGAAAAACAAAAACTTAGTTGGCGAACAGTTAAAGTCCTAGCCTCCCTGGGCAAAATGCACCACAGAAAATCTCGCAAAGCACGAGCGCGGCCGGCCGCAAGCGCAACCGCCGGATCGATTCCGAGGACCCCAGCTCCACTTCCCCGCAGCAGGAGCTGCAGGGTGGCAGCTGGCAGCAGCCTGTCACACGTCCCAGCGGGTGCCAGACTACTGTTGGGCTTATTGATGTGCGTGGTTCTATGGTCTGAGCCAAGCACGCCCGAAAGCCGTAGGACGGCTTGTATGCCAGTTTTGGGCCGCAGGAGACCATCAGCAGTTCCCAAGCAAATGCGCTGGCATTGTCATGCGAAGCTACTGGTTTACGTGGATGCATTTAAACTCTCCCAAGTCCAAAGGGCAGTAAAGTGTGGCCAATATTCCTTGGCTCATTCATGCGAAATCAACCCCTAACACCCTCCGAAAAACATCTCAATGCATCCAAATGGCCGGAGAGAAGTCCAAAAACAAGATCTACAAGCCGCACGGCAGTGTGACTAAACTTCTTGCACTTTGGGAACGGCTTCAAACAACCACAATCCCCACTAAAATAGGTTCTAAAATGGGTGGTGAATTCACCTACCGACCAAAATGGGATCCCATTGGTTTTGACAACCGCAGCCAGATGTGTCGTCTGCATCCCAGGCCATCCACTCACAAACGGAGGGACCTGGACCTGGACAAAGGCCGATTTGCCTTGGAAAGCTGAACTTGGTTTTGACGACCACAGCCATCCACATAAACCAGTCGACCTGCCAGTGCACCACCCATTTTAGAACCAATGTTAGTGGGGATTGGGATGTGAAAACTGGGGTACGTTCTTGGGCTCAAAACTAGAGAGCTAGGGTTTCGCAGGTCTTAGCCTTCCATTTCCCGCGGTGAAATTTTGGTCTCCATTTATTTGAGCCACAGCCATTTGACCGGGGTACCATTTGGATTTTGACAACCACGGCCATGGCTCCAGCTCCGGGGCTCGTAAGGCTGCCTGGAGATGCGCGGCAGGGCTCCATCAGCTCGAGGCCGTATGGCTCGAGCTTGTGGAAACCTGGGCATCGAGAGATCCAACCACTCAGCGAGATACTTGGTCCTCCAGTAGAGAGGTTAGAACAAGTTGGTACCCATCTTGTTTCTTTTCTGTAGTCTATTTTAGTAGGGGAACCCTCCCCCCAAAAAGGGGAGAGAAGGACACTACTGGAGGTCAGATGGGGAAACCAGAAGGGACACCACCCCGTTGAAGGGGGTAATTGTCCCATTCCCTATTTTCGACACATGTACCGAAGGTAGATAGACCATCAGCTTCCCACCGATCGGTGCTTCGGAGCCGAATCGGTGGTTTGGACCAGGTCCATGCCAATTGACAAAATGACGAGAGAACAAGGCTAACTCCAGCAAGAACACACACACACACACACACACACACACACACACACACACACACACACACACACACACACACACACACACACACACTAGACACACAGCCGAACAAAGCGTGCGGTCGGCGGTCACATGCAGGATGCCGTGGATCCAAGCCCGTGCAACAACATGCACCACAGATTGGTAGCTGTTGAACTCCATGCAAAAACTTTAGCTTGTTTAGGTCCAATGGAAAATCCACTGTTTCTCAAAAAGTTAAAGTTCAAGGATGTCCAAAACCTGAAAGAATGGACTTGACCCCCTACAAGAACCAACGCTTCAAAACCCCAAATCACCAATCCAAGCCAGCCAAAAGCTATTGCACCAAAAAGATCGAGAAAGATCAAAGTCAAGATCCAAGCACCTAGGAAGAAAGTCATCTTAACAGGTAACAGAGACTCTGATCCAACCACACGGATCCAGAGGGAACCAAGTCATCTTACCGCCGAGCGCTTGCGCGCTTGGAGTTCTGGGGCGCTGGGGCCCCGTGCCCCGGCTTGGGCGCTGCTGCGGCACGAGCACGCGCTTCTTGGGCACGGAGACCTGCCCGAGCAAGCGAGAAACGACCCAGTCTGTGTGCGCGTGTCGGTGAAGCTTGTTCCCTTGTTCATGGCATGGTTTACAGGGCGAAGCAGAACCTAAAGCCTCCAAACTCCCTCAAAATACTCGGTTGTACAGTTGTTGGGGGCGAATTGCCCCCTTTTTTTTCCGTTTTTTCACGGGTAGTTTGAGGATCTTCGAGGGACTCCCCTTTTTTCACCGATTCTTTTGGCGGATCTTCCAGGGACTCGGGGAACATCCACTCCGGAGGCGCCGTCCGCTGCCCCCCCGCCAGCTCCGTCACCGGCAGGCCCGTGCCGCAGAGCGCCCCGGCGGAGGCCGCCAGCTCCAGCCCCGAGGGGCCGTAGGGCGAGGGGAAGAACCACGGCACCTCCGTCTCGCGGCCCACCTCGGTGCGAGGAACCGATCCTCTCAAATCCCTTGGTATGGGCTGGCAAAAAACAAAAAACTGGTTTTTGGCACCCAGTAAAGATGAACGGAACCAAAAAAAAAAAAAAACGTGCCAAGAACAGCGAAGCTATAGCCTACCATGGCCTGACAGACCTGGCATGACCTGGCACAGGTGTCTGGAAATGGGAAATAGATGAGTTTCCCTGGTAGATGAGAGAGAACCACCAGGTGTTTTCCAGGAATCGCCCTCCATTTTTGTTGGCCTGACAGAGCTGGGAGCTAGCTCCCTCCTTGAAAGCAAAGTTGGATACCCCCAGCCCTTCCAATCAGCAGCTACATGTAGCGATTTGGCTCCGTGCCATCGATTAAGGCAGCTGATCTGTAGGAAGCGTGACGAAGCATGGAACCACAAATCTTCCGGAGAACTGCGCGCCCCCTCCCCCAATTCCATCGAGACCACGTGTTTGACCCACGCACAGCGCGCCTCAGAATACCTTCGCGCTTCCCCCCCGCCCCCCGCCCCCAGCAAATCCGCAAAAAAAAGCGCCACCCGAGGAACGCAGGCGTTGGTCGCCACCAGCAAGTCCAAGTCCGGGAAGAGGCGCAACTGCGGACTTTTGTCGCGCCGTGCCAGCCAGGCTGTCAGCTCGGCCAGGCCTGGCGAGGGCTTTGCGTCAATTCGCGGCATCAAGGAAGCTGACCCAACAGGGGCTCCCTATAGTTCCCCCAAAAGCATAAAACCCCCAAGGGATACTCACCTTTGGGCCAAACAGGTGACGTTTGGAACCACCACTTAAAGGGAAACATAGGGACCCCTGCCTAAAGAAGACCAACAATGGGATGCGTGCAAAGTCTCAGCGAAAGGAGATGGCCGTGTCGAGGGATCCTTGGGATAGCCTATCAAGCGTCTGCGAGACGAGTTGAAACACAGGGTTCTGATGCGGACTCTGATGGGAGCGGGAATTGCTGTCTGGAGGCCGTCCGTGGGAAGATGCAGCTGCAAAGTTGAATTCACTTTAAAAGCTGACGCCAACCGCTTGCCCGAATGATCACCTGCTTTGTGAGTGATGCCGTGTTGCACAGAACATTAGGCAGGTGTTGAGAGCGGGTCCCAGCAGCTGAGTGCAGCTTCAATGCCTTGTTAGATTCCCTGCAGATCTGAGTGGCATACTCTCTAAACACAAGTTGTGTATTGTTGTTCTTTGGGGGTGGCTCACGGCTGGCACAAGCGCCAGCGGGAAGCATCATATCATGTCATCAAGGCAACTGGAGCTACGGCCCGGGGTGGCGTGTACTGCACATAGATGTCCATACACACATATACACTATAGGCAAGTATGCCCAAAACAAGAGCAATATACTACAAATACGTCCACCACCAAGCGCATCGCTTCGGATGGCGGTTGTCTTGGCTCCCCTCCTCCAGCGTCTGGAATGGCTGCAGCTGCATCCTGGGACCGGAGCTCGTCCCGAAGCTCCCGCAGCTCCATGGCCCCCTCCTGAGGAACTTCGCCGGTCGCGGCCAAACCAAGCGGGACGACCAGGGTTTGTTTCGGTAAACTTTAACGGCCATGAACTCATTCATGGTTACACTGCTGGACAAGAAATGCAGAAACTAGCTAGCCCGCCTGTGGCTGGCAAATGACTGGCAACCCTTGCAAATCGCCAAACTGCCAAAACTGCCCAGTGTCCAAGACCCTGCATGTGCACCTCCGGTAAATGGCACCACGTCCTCCATTTCGGGGTCCGTTCGAAAGCTCGTCCGGGGGAGAAACGGCGGCGGATGGATGGCCCCGCCCCCCCCCCCCCCCGGTCCGACGTGAGGGTGCGCACGGGCTCGGGTTCCGGAGGCCAGCCCTGCTGCAGGTCCTGGCCCCCGAATCAGAAGGCTCTGGGACAGGAACTGGCCCCATCTTACATTCTCAGCTGCGATGAGGGAATGCTCGCCTCAATTCTTGCTGCCGCAGTGGTGATGTCTCATTCCAGAGAGTTTGCGAGGATTCAGCTTGTTGGCAAGTTGTGGCAGCATGGTTGAGGAGCCAGCGTCCCCGTGATCCAAGTCACCCCCGTTCAGTGGGTTAAAGGGGAACCACCAACTCGTTTCCGACTTTTACAACCAGACCTTAAGTCAAAGTCATTGGACAAGGGGCTGGGCAGCAAAGCCCGCAGAGTGACAAACGAAAAATCGCCCGCCTCCGGAAGGCAACACGCCTCAAAGGTGAAGACGCCATTGAAGCAAGTGGGGTTGCCCCGCGGGAAGCCTGGCAAAATTTCGGGCCCGGCCCGAAGAAACGAAATTTCGAGCTCGACGTGTCGAGCTTCGGGGCCTTGGGGCCAACTTGAGCAAAAGCCGAGCCAAAGTTGGACCCCCCCCCGGGAAAAAAACATGCTTCTCCAGTGAGAAGAGCCACCCTCGCAAAAACATGGAAAAAAAAGCCTGGGCCGAGTTTGTGGGCCAACTGGGGCCCCAAGTGGAGCAACCCCCCGGGCGAGAACTTCTTCTCCTCAGCCGAGGTGCGGGGGTCGCAGCACATGATGCAGCTGGCGCCCAGGGAGCTGGTCCTGCTTGGCCAGCAGGCACCTGGCTGCGACATCGCTATGGGCCAAATCGGGTGACGTCGCCAGCCATTTCCCGAGGGGTGGGTGGAAGGGTGGATGCACCAAGCCATCGAAAAGATGAAGAACGTTCAGTGGGGCTGCGAAATGGGGGCGACGTCACGAGCCATTTCTTCTCCTCAGAGCTCAGGTGAAAGGGCCATGCACCGCACCAAGTCAGCGCAAAAATGAACACCGAATCCAGCCATGAGACGGCAACACGAGTATCGATCGGAGCCAAAAAGATGGTTGGCAATAGCAATTCGGGAAGAACCTTGGGCAACATGAGTTCGAATCAAAACCGATGGGTATCAAAGTGGCCGATCCCCCGAACCAAAAGAAGCCAAAAGGCCGCGAAGGCACCAATGGTTGGGATCATCCCTTGCTAAGCTTCATCTACCCGAATCGGTGTTGAGCCAGTGGCTCACATGAGCCGATGCCCTATGCCATGAGCTCTGCCTTCTGCCACGCTACAATTTGGGCCTAACAGGCCAAGGTACTTCTGGTGTCAGCCAGCTACTTCCCCCCCCCGCCCGCCACCCAGCCCCCCTCCGCCAAAAATGTATAATGTAAAACCCCGTTCAAGAGGCACAACTCATCATACTCCCACAACTGAACCTATTCGCCACCGACAAAAAGGACAAAAGGGGTCTCATGCTGATACTGCGCTCCGGGCGAAGCAATCGGCGCCTGCCAAGCTCATTGGCCAGCATCGGCGCAAGGGCTCGGCCAAATCACCTCAGCCCCGCTTGGGTGTTTGCAACTATCCTTTGTTGTTTGGCAAACCTCAGTTGCTTTCTGCTCCCCCGCTAAAAGTTTAACTTGTAGTGGTTTAATTGAAACCCCATTGGTTGGCAAAAAGTTCAAGTCCTAACATCCAAGCCACATGCACCAAAGAAACCACCTGACGGCTTGCGCGCTTCTGATCGCAGTCGATGGATGGTTTGGCCTGACACCCAACCCGCCTGGCTTTGCAAGGATAGAAACTCAAGCCGGAAGTTCACAATAGCACAGAAATAAACATTCATGCAAGCGAGCAAGCAACCACGGCATCAGGAGAAGCACACGTATGCTTGTGGTTCAAGATCTCGCCAGCACGTGCTTCCTTGCAGGATTTTGCAAAAGTAGGTACAACGGTACAACTTAATGTCCGCTCATGCGCGTAAGAGCGCGTGTGTCTGTCCACGTTGTGTTTTGGCAAAGCAGTTGATGGAAAACCAGAGTTTCTCTCAGGTCGCGCTGGGGGACATTCTTTGCCTGCTAAAACACTAGACAACTACCCAGTACCTCCTTTTCCTCTAGCCGCCTCCGCCTTCTTGCCCAGCATGACCAAACCCCTTCTGCGATGCATCACGTGCACCCGAAGCACCCTGTTTCTCGTACAGGCGGAACAGCATGCGGGACAGGTGCTGGACGGCAAAACATAAACAGTGGATTGGCCAAGCAAAGCTTGAACTTTCTGTCTACCGCTAAAACGGTCTTCCCGAAAAGGACCAAGTCCAGCACTTCTTGTGTGTGTGTGCGCTTCTGGCCCGGCCCAGGGCGTGACCACGGCAACTATAAAGGACAAAGTCCAGGAACTCAGGGGATGAGCGAAAGAGAGAGCACTTCTAGGTCCTCCAGCAGAGAGGTTAGAAGAAGGGTACCTTTTTTAATAGTTTATTTTAGTAGGGGAACCCTCCCAACCAAAAGAAACGGTAAAAGGGCACTACTGGGGGACCTAGACTTCCTGTCCGTCTTCACAAATTTCGGCCTGGGCGCCGCGGTCCACGGACCGGCCAAGGTCCCGGAAGTGGGGGACCTCCACGTCAGCCTTGTCCACCCAAAACGCCACCTGCGAGCATCGAGGCTGGCTCCGTTCAGATCGGGCACTCCAAACATGACCTTGGTTGACGGCACACGGCCCCTCTGCAAAAAGTGATTCAACTTTTCTTGGGGGGTCCTATTCGGAAAATCCCAGCTGTTTCAACCAGAAAGTCTAAGTCCAAAGATCCGATATCGAATGGCCGTAAAGCAACCGCTGCCAGAAGGATGTTGAACTACTGCCCTTTTTGAACCGAAGCCACCATCCTGTGCCTGTTTTGGAACAAATCTCATCCAAAAAAACTCGCAAGAAGTCGCCAAGCCAGTAGTACTCCAGCTCTACCCTCCCCATTCTCTTCAGGGATCCTTCTCTTCCAAAAACGGGCCAAACCCCTAAAAAATAGGTGGTGTTTAAAGAGAACGATGGCGAATCAAACCTTAGAAATACATCAAAGTGGCCTTCCCCCTGCACTTTTAGTAACCACTTGAAAGGCAGATGCGAAGAACATGCGAGCCATATATGAGCCTTTGTCTCCCTGTAGTGTTCCGAGGTTTGCCGAATTTCGCGCGCCTCAAAGGCTGCCCAACGATCAGCAAAGGCCTGGCCGAAAGATCCAACTCCGTACACTCGCGAGCCGCGAGCCTCCCCGCGTTTGTTGCTCTGCAGTCTCAAAAGATGACAATGACCATGTCTCGGTTGCTTTCTGCTCCCCTGCCAGCAGTTTAACTTTTAGTGGTTCAATTAAACCCCATTAGTTGGCAAAAAGTTGAAGTCCTAACATCCAAGCAAAAGGCACCAAACATGCATGAATGGGACCTACATCGATCTCAATCATCGGGCTGCGAGACCACAGGACCCATGTTGCGATGTTGCGGTCAAACACGGAACCAACAGTCCAGGAATTCCAAAGCGATCCTCTTGACCCAAGGGTCCTCCAGGCGCTGAGGATGCAAAGGCCACGGTGGCCCCAAGCAGTGTCTCACCTCAGGATGGATGCAAAGCTGCCCAGGGCTGCCCTTGAGGGCTACTGCCAGCTGCATCCCCGAGGGGCACTCTGCGTTTGAGCCTCTCGTTTGCGTAGCCTGCAAGATGCGGCCTCATGGTGCCTTGAGGTCACAGCACGGAGAAGAACACAAGTATGTGGGCGTCGCGCGTGCAACTGCATCCGATGAGCAACCATGCGGGGAACCAAATGCTTAAAACCAACGTCCAAGACATACGTCAAAAGCTGGTTACCCTTGACAGGGTGGAGCCAAGGCTGGCAAGCTGCTTAGGTGGATGCAGCAAATGCCATCGTCGAAGCCCGGCCGGCATCGCTGCTTCCCATTGGAACCGAGATGTACGCTGAACGAGTGTCCAACCCCTTCGCAGTCACAAGGCGGCCGTGCAAGGCCTGACCCAAGAAACCTGCCTGAGCAACCAAACCAGGACAACAGCATGTGGCCATGGGTCAAACTCCAAATCCCACCCCCAGTGAACATGAACATCCCAATCCAACCACTAAAATAGGTTCTAAGCTGGGTGGTGCACCTACCTGGAGTTTCCACGACGCTTAAAAAATGGTGTCATTACCCAAAATTAAGGGGTCATGGACCCATTTTTGTTAAGGGTCATGGAGACTCTAGGTACCCCAACTAGGGTATCCCAAAACGGCTTTGACCACGGCCATGTCGATAGCCAACTTCCTCTAACCGAGGTGCCCAGGGCAACATCCAGCGCAGGCGCCGCGCGAAGCGCGCAGCCGGCAGCACGCGCGCCTCCAAGGCGAAGTGCAAAGAGCAGAGCCTCACTGCCGGCCCCAAAGAAACCACCACCCCCCCTCCCCCCCCAACACCCCCCTTACCCCCACCCCTGCCCCCCTACCCCCGGGCCCCCCCCCCCCCCACCTTCCCCCCTCCCCCTTCCCCTCTCCCTACCGCCCCCCCCCGGCCAGCTCGAACCCGCAGCCGCACTTCCGGCGTCCCTCCCACCATCCCCGCCCCTCTCCAGGCACGCGGATCCAAGCGGCAAGTCCGAGACGATGAGCCCCGGCACGCAGAGGGCCTCGAAGATCCCCTCACGGAGGGCAATGTGCCCCTCGGTGATCCAGAAGGGGTTGAAGCGGTAGGCCTGGCTTCACAAGCAACCCGTGGACAAGCTTGGCAACAAAAACAACCAACTGTTCCTTTTTGGCAGCCCACTTCTAGAAATTCACAGGACCAAAAAACAAACAAAAGCTTGATCCAAGAACGATGAAGCTGGCTATAGGCAACATGGATATGGATTCGCAAGCCAGAACTGACCAACCACGAATACGAGCCACCCACTGCTGCAAGCTCGGCGCATTTGAGGAATGCTAGCCCAGACAGCCACCATTCTACCTCAAATATTCTAAATGGAATGCGCACTGCCAATGAACATAAAGTTGACGTGAAGAGGCGAATACTTGGCATTACTTGGCCAACAAGACTGAGTGTGGATTGCGGTACAATATCCGAGCTTTGCGCCAGTGTAAACGCAGTGCATCAGCTTCGAGACAATCTCTTGACTCTTAAGGTAGTGTCCACATCAAGTTCAGGGCATTGCCCCCAGGAGCCTACCAACTTGGGCTGTTGCAAATTGCAAGACCATGAGCCGGAAAGCGCTCGCACACCAACCCATGCCTGCGACTAGGAAATGCCAGGAAGTGCCTCGGATTACGTCGATTCTAGGCGCAGCGCACCGAGCCTTTCCGCTGATCTTCACCCATCCAGCATCGCGGCTGCAGAGTCTGGCACCGAAAGGCGCCAGAGAACTTTGTCCATCCAGGGCTTCAAGTACGCCCAACAAGTCGGCTGAAACAATGTGGGGAAATGTGGGGATGCACCTGTTTTGTCCACCAAAACAGGAAGAACTCCTCTCAATATGGGGAAATGTGGGGGTGCACCATTTGTTCCACTAAAACAGGAGAAAGGCACGGCACAGTTGCTTGTTTGCTCGGAGCTAGCTCCGATCTGAGGCCATGCAGCCCAAATCATCCCGGATCTGGTCTCGAAACTCTGAGATGACAAACTCTGAGATGATTCGGGTCGCCTCACTTTCATTGCGCGGTTGTTTGATTTGCCTTGGACAGCACCCCCACCCATTTCTCAAACCAATACACCCGCCCCACCCCTGCTGCACCAGGTCTTGCAGCATCTGCCAAGGCCGGCTGCGGCTCTGGTTGCCTGAGAGATGATAGGTGGCAATCTTCCAAAAACTCAAATGGAAGAAGTCAAACTTATGCTCACTTGCCCAAAAGACCTGAAAATACAAGGTTAACCTTTTGGGGTCATCACTAAACAAATCGACCAACCCCGGAAAACTAAAAGGTCAGATCAGGTCGATTCGCTTTGGGCAATGGCCAGCTCAAATCCTCGGGTGGCCTTTCCAAAGCTCTCGAAGGCATTTCCGGAGCATACGTCTAGCATCCTCAATATCACGCGAAAGGTAGGGCCTAGATGGCTGTCCAAAAACAGAATGCGGCTGTCCACCTGTATTTGTTCCAAACACAAACATGAGTCACTTCAATTTAAGCTTACTTCCAGTAATGACAAATTCCTTTTGAAACCAACAAAGGAAAACAAAACACATATTCATTTCAGCAAACAGAAAAAACTGGTTTGGAGGACGCCGAGTCTGAATTCGGGTTGCCCTCGTTCTGACCCAAGACCAAGGCCTGCGGCGCTCGGCGCAGCGAAGTCGACCTCCGGCTCTCTGAGGATCTCTTCGGCATCCTGTGGCACAGCAGCACAGCAACCCCCATGTCTCGTCATGAAGCAAGCACTCTCGTGCCTGCGTGCGTGCGCATGTGTTTTCTTCTTTCGTGTGGTGTGTGTGTGTGTGAGGGTGTATGCGTTTCATCTGTGCGTACGTGCGTGTCTTTTTGTGTGCGTCTGTGTTACTGTGTTACTGTGCTACTGTGTTACTGTGTTACTGTGTGACTGTGTGACTGCGTGACTTTGCAACTTTGTGTGTGTGTGTGTGTGTGCGCGCGCGTGCGCGTGCGCGTGCGCGTGCGCGTGTGCGTGTGCGCGTGGCTGTGCGCGTGCGCGTGCGCGTGCGCGTGCGCCGCGTGCGCGTAGCGCGTGCGCGTGCGCGTGCGCGTGCGCGTGCGCGTGCGCGTGCGTGTGCGTGTGCGTGTGCGTGTGCGTGTGCGTGTGCGTGTGCGTGTCTTTGTGTGTCTGTGTGTGTCTGTGTGTGTCTGTGTGTGTCTGTGTGTGTGTGTGTGTGCGTGTGCGTGTGCGTGTGCGTGTGCGTGTGCGTGTGCGTGTGCGTGTGCGTGTTGGTGTGTGCGTGTGCGTGTGCGTGTTGGTGTGTGCGTGTGCGTGTGCGTGTTGGTGTGTGCGCGCGTGTGTGTGTGTGTGTGTGTGTGTGTGTGTGTGTGTGTGTGTGTGTGTGTGTGTGTGTGTGTGTGTGTGTGTGTGTGTGTGTGTGTGTGTGTGTGTGTGTGTGTGTGTGTGTGTGTGTGTGTGTGTGTGTGTGTGTGTGTGTGTGTGTGTGTGTGTGTGTGTGTGTGTGTGTGTGTGTGTGTGTGTGTGTGTGTGTGTGTGTGTGTGTGTGTGTGTGTGTGTGTGTGTCTGTGTGTGTCTGTGTGTGTCTGTGTGTGTCTGTGTGTGTCTGTGTGTGTCTGTGTGTGTCTGTGTGTGTCTGTGTGTGTCTGTGTGTGTCTGTGTGTGTCTGTGTGTGTCTGTGTGTGTCTGTGTGTGTCTGTGTGTGTCTGTGTGTGTCTGTGTGTGTCTGTGTGTGTCTGTGTGTGTCTGTGTGTGTCTGTGTGTGTCTGTGTGTGTCTGTGTGTGTCTGTGTGTGTCTGTGTGTGTCTGTGTGTGTGTGTGTCTGTGTGTGTCTGTGTGTGTCTGTGTGTGTCTGTGTGTGTCTGTGTGTGTCTGTGTGTGTCTGTGTGTGTCTGTGTGTGTCTGTGTGTGTCTGTGTGTGTCTGTGTGTGTCTGTGTGTGTGTCTGTGTGTGTCTGTGTGTGTCTGTGTGTGTCTGTGTGTGTCTGTGTGTGTCTGTGTGTGTCTGTGTGTGTCTGTGTGTGTCTGTGTGTGTCTGTGTGTGTCTGTGCGTCTGCGTGTCTGTTTTTCTGTGTCTGTGTGTGTGTGTCTGCGGGTGTGTGTGTGTGCGTGGGTATCCTTGGAGCGCCAATTGGCGTGCATCATGACTCACTGAATCACCGACCGGCAGACCGGCGAACCTGAGCCGTTCCCCGTCCTCTGCCAAATGGAGGAACCAGTTGTCCCGCCAGCTGCAGTCGCACAGGAAGGCCGGCGCCTTGGCTAGCTGAGGCCTCACTACTAAATACCCTCCCACCAAAGACCACGGAACCGGGGGGTCTAAATTTCCTTTTGAAGGACCCCCCTGTCAGGTTCCACGTGCATTGGCGGGAGGGCAAAAAAAAAAGCCACTTGCCAAATCAACAGGTGAGTCAAGGAGCTCCTCCTGCGGGAAGAGCGGCTGTGGCCAAGCCTCGCGCGCCCGAGAAAGAGTGGCATAGGGCCGAAAATATGTAGCTCAGCAGGCGGGCAAAACTGGAAGCTTCAGCATTGTGGGGGTGGACGGGGGAGGGGGCTATATACATGCATAAAGATATGTGCACATTATGTACACATATCTCTCTCTATATATATATATATATATGTTTCTATGTATATATCATGCATGACAGTACAACAAACATTCGAACGTGTATGCAAGAGCCGTGGGTAATCATTGTTCCAACCATTTAAGCAAACACATGTGTAGCTTTTAGCATAGGTTGCGCATGTACAACTATATTCGCTTTCCAATTTGTCAGGGGCTGCAAGTGTTCAAATGGACGAACCAAATAATTATGACTGTTTTGCAGCTCAAATCCTCCGCCCTTTGGGGCGGACCAGGCTCTGGCCATGCAAGCGGTTTTTTGGGGACTTGCTGTTGGCCCCTCCGCAAAAAGTGAATCAACTTTTGGTGGGTGCAATTCTAAAAATCCATTGTTTCAACCAACAAGTTAAAGTCCAAAGATCCGTTAGCAAATAGCCATAGGGAAGATGCGAGGGATCTGTGTCCCAACATGTCCAAGGGCCCAAGGGACTGGACACGTTGCATCTACCGCGTTGAATGACCAGCAGCCGGGGTTTGAACTATGCACGTCAACTTCCGCCTGTTGAGTTCAGCATTGCGACCAACTCAGCAACTGACTGGGACCCCAAAAATCGGACCCACCTGGCACTACTATCCCCAAGGGTTGATGACTTGGGGGATCCATATTTGTCAGCTGATGTTAGCTCCATATCAGCTTGGTCCGGCTTTCCGGGTCCAAGGCTGGTCCGATTGAACCCTCTCGCCTGCCCAGCGCCACATCCATCACACGAAGGCGCAATAGGCGAAAATGCCCGTGGCCGTGGTGGCTTTGTGCAAAACAAAGCTGTGGTTGCATGGTTCGAGAACCATTGCGCGAAAGGAAACTGCAATACAGTTATGGTTCTGTGTGCCTGTTTATAGTTAATGTATGGCTACGTATGCTTATGCATGGCTATGTATGATCTTCGTGACAAGCGTATGGTTCTGGTTGTGTTGTCCGCCAGGGACGCCAACACATCTGAGGCAAAGAAGAGAAAACACCAAAGCCGTTGGCTTTTGTGAAGGCTTAACAGCAGAACCTCCATGAAACCCCATGAGTGCACAAGGAACATTGAACATGTAAGCGGCTAAGGACTTGCTTAGCTCCGCGTCAATGCTCTGGTGAAACAGGTGCATTGGATCTAGCGTGGCTATATGAACTGACATGCTTTGACCTCTCGCAGCAACGAAAACAAGTTTACGTCATTCAGACTTGCATGTGGCTTACAGCTTCACTGCAAGACCTTGCGGTGAAACTGAGCCAAGAATCGCGCGCACAGCCCACTTGCAAGGCCAAGTGTGCAGGCCACATTGACGTAATGACTGTGAGGTCAAGCATGGATGCTTACTCGTCGGATGCAATTGACACAAGGGGCCAATGCAGAAAAAGGCATCCACATCTTCACCGAGTAGAGAGGGAAGTGGATCAATGCAAAGAGTTGCCGGTGAGCAAATTGAACAAACAGAGCCTAAGCCAGGTTCAAGGAGGACAGAAAACTGCTTGGGGGGCTTATATAGTTCTGTCCCCGATTCGCTTTTGGTGGCCTTGTCTGACTCCCCCAAATCGTTGCGGGGCCAGACTTGCCAGTATTTGAACCGTGTCTGTTGCGTCCAATAGACAGCCGCCATTGACTCGGTTGCTGTTTTCCCCTCTGCAAAAAGTGCTCAACTTTTTGTGGGTCCAATTCGGAATATCCAAGCTGTTTCTTTCCCGAAAAGTGTTCAAGTCCAAAACATCCGTTACCAAATCTCGCCAGTGTTCCCCTCCAAAAGTGATGATTCCTCAATCGGAGACATCCCCCTATTGATAAGCTGGGGCTGATTAGTATGGGCTCAACCGGTCTGGGCTTTTCCTTCCGGCATCTCTTCCCAGCGGGGCAGCTCGCCCTGCCACAGGTCCAAGGAATCGGCAGAAGACCTAGGACTCAAGACACGCCCCGTAGGATATGCAGCACTGGACCTAGCAACATGCTCGGAATCGTTGGACATGTGCAATGATGAATTTCTGGAGGAAGGAGAGGGGATGTTGAAGCAACAAATGCAACGCATCCATATACGGTTATATAAGTTATATACGCACCCCGCTAACCTCCCATGAGAAAGAATTCGCTAAAAAGCTGAGTCCACACGTTGAACAGCGATCACCTCCGCACAGTTCTCGCTTTCTTCCCTTCCAAAAAACCTGGCCATTCTTGGAAGCTCAACTGTGGGCACCCTTGCCCAAAAAGCGGCTGGTGGCAATCGGCTCAAGCACCCGCACCCAGTTCAAAAGTGGACCCTCCTGAAGAGAGACTTGGGAGCAAAGGGGCCCAAAACATGATACCTGCCTCGCAACAAACATCGGCCTATGGGATCCCCCACCTTCAATGAACGCCGAAGCATCCAAACCCGCAAAGTGCACCATGGGCCTCTGGTGCCCGTAGCTTCATAACAAACCACTCCTTGGCACTCAATGGGGGTAACCGAGAATAAGAAACACGCAACAACAAAAACAAAAACAAACCATGCGCCTCCGGTCGTAGTTTCAGAACTCATTGGAAACATGGGTACCCAGTACCCAAGAATAAGAAGCACGCCTTTTTTACGGAGATTCCAGTTTTTGGGATAGCGAAACCACCGGCCGAAAGCAGGAAACCTCCTCTTCCTGCCAAGGGGCCGCCGCAACGGCCGCAGCTGCCACAGAGCTTCGCGGAGGTCCTGCGGAGATCAAGAGGCCCTCTATGCAAGGGGCAAGTGAGGCAAAATGAGAGCTGTGGGAACTGACCACCTCTGTGATACAGATCATGGGCCCGCAAGGTTTGGTGGTTGTTCATGTGGAGAGGGAAGGGTGCCTTCTCTAGGCCACAACCTAAGGCCCCCTGTGTTCATGTAGAGGGATGTTCCCTCAAGTATCACAGTGGGAATCAACCCCCAGGTGATCCCACAAGCCTGGTCAGAATCAAAACCGATCGGATCCGATCGGTATTTAAATGGACGATCCCCAGAACCGCACCTCTGAGTGGGATTGTCCCCCAACCTTCAGCTATCCAAGTTTGATTGTGGCTCAAATGGGTCGCTTCCGTGCTGTGACCAAATTGGCCGGATTCATTCGACAGCTCTGCTGGAAAAAACCTCCCTTTTCTGCAAGCGTCTGCCAGCGTCCGAGTGTCAAAAGAAAGTGGAGGCCTTAAGGCTAGGACATCGCATTAAAAAAAAAGCTTCACGTCTCCCGCGCGTTTCACGCACCTCCGGCAGCTCGCAGCAAGCCCAACTTTCCACGCCGTCCACACGAAAGCGCAGGCCTGCAGATACGCCAAACTCATCGACTTGGACAGGAGGCTCCATTTTGCAACCAGAACTCGCCAGAAAACATCCATTGGTTGCATGTGTGTGCGTGTGTGCCTGTGCCTGTGTCTGTCTGTCTGTCTGCCTGCCTGCCTGCCTGCGTGCCTGCGTGCCTGCGTGCCTGCATGGGTGCGTGGGTGCGTGGGTGCGTGGGTGCGTGGGTGCGTGGGTGCGTGGGTGCGTGGGTGCGTGGGTGGGTGGGTGGGTGTTGTGGGTGTTGTGGGTGTTGTGGGTGTTGTGGGTGTTGTGGGCGTTGTGGGTGTTGTGGGTGTTGTGGGTGTTGCGTGTGTGCGTGTGTGTGCGTCTGTGCGTCTGTGCGTGTGTCTGCGCGTGTGTATGTGCGTGTGTCTGTGCGTGTGTCAATGTGTGTGTGTGTGTGTGTCAGCGTGTGTGTCAGTGTGTGTGTCAATGTGTGTGTGTGTGTGTCAGCGTGTGTGTCAGTGTGTGTGTGTGTGTCAGTGTGTGTGTGTGTGTGTCAGTGTGTGTGTGTGTCAGTGTGTGTGTGTGTGTGTGTGTCAGTGTGTGTGTGTGTGTGTGTGTCAGTGTGTGTGTGTGTGTGTGTGCGTGTGTGTCAGTGTGTCAGTGTGTCAGTGTGTCAGTGTGTCAGTGTGTCAGTGTGTGTGTGTGTGTGTGTCAGTGTGTGTGTGTGTGTGTCAGTGTGTGTGTGTGTGTCAGTGTGTGTGTGTGTGTCAGTGTGTGTGTGTGTGTGTCAGTGTGTGTGTGTGTGTGTGTGTGTCAGTGTGTGTGTGTGTCAGTGTGTCAGTGTGTGTGTGTGTGCCAGTCTGCGTGTCAGTGTGCGTGTCAGTCTGTGTGTCAGTGTGTGTCAGTGTGTCAGTGTGTGTGTGTGTGTCAGTGTGTCAGTGTGTCAGTGTATCAGTGTGTCAGTGTGTCAGTGTCAGCAGCGTCTGTGTGTCTCTCTGTGTGTGTCTGCGTGTTTGCCTTGTGTATTTGTGTCTTTGTGTCTTTGTTTGTGTGTTGGTGAGCCCCTTATCATCGATTGCAGAATCCTGGGGAACCTCCATAAACTAGTGTATGAAGAACGTGCACAATCTGAAAGAACCCTGGGTATCTACTTGCAGTGTTCAAGGCTTCAGCACCGGGGCGCTGTAGCGATGCAGGAAGTTCCGCTGGCACCAGGCGACATCGGCTGCAAAGGTCGGCTCTGCGGTGTACCTCGCATCGGAGACCTCGGTGTGCCGTCGGTGAAGCAACAAGGCAGGCTCCCCTGTGCCTTTCTCTCGCTCTGGGCACGTAAGTTGTCAAACAAGCCGTGGCTAGCCGATTAGCCCAAAACCCCCACCGTCAAATGGACAGTTGATCCATAGGATCAAGTCCATGCAAGCCGTAGTTTGGCCCGACACCCCCACGTCACCATAGGATCAAGACCATACAGTAGGTGTCCTTTTTGGAAAATAGGTGCCCCTGATAAATAAATTGAACCACCAGGTAACCAGGATTCGCCTCCTACTTGTTTAAGCCAAACAACCAAGAAGGACACCTATGCTCATGGTTGGGCTTGGTGGCTTGGAGCTTGGGATTGCTTCCAGCTTCGGGGGATTTCCGACCAACCCTCGGACCTGCGATCAGCCGCTCAGCGCCCCCCGTTGATCAGATTGCCGCCCGAGGCGCCGTGGGGTGCCCCACGTGCGCCGCGTGCACGCGGATCTGATGCCGCCGCCCCGTGCCAATGCGCACCGCCGCCATGGACACCGCGCGGCCCAAGGGCGCCCTCGCATGGCCCGAGATCTTCCTGAGCGAGCATGGGGGCGGCCCTCTGCAATGTGTTTTGTTTTGTGTTCTTTTGTTTTCAGTATTGCTTCATTATAAACATATATATATATATACACATGGTTTTCTTATGTTTCTTTAGGCGGGGGAGAGCCTTAGGGACATCAGTGGAAGCCGAACACCAAGCTAATGCCGGGCCTAAGGAAATGATACACCCGCTGAACGAGTAATTAGCAAAACAACGAGCACCAACCTAGGAAACCTACAGGTTCAGTGGAATTCATATTGCCTTTGGTGGATTAAGGTTTATGTCGTGACAAAAGCTGAACACTACACCTTCGTGTTGGTTAAAATGGTTCAGCCAGCCCTAGGGCCTACTCCACCAAACAAATATGAAGCAAAATGCCAATCCAGCATTGCTTGTAAGCTTTTTGGCAAAAGCAGAAGTCTCCGAGTCTTCATTCCCCGATCATAGGTGCTTAGGTCTATCAGGTTCATCCAGGACCAGCCCGAATCTTTACTGACAGTGGATCACGGACGTTCTTGCATAAGCGACTGCTTTAAGCAATGCATGTCGGACAGACTTCGCATCACAGGATTTCAACAGGTCAGCCATGAACCGAACGAACTCGCTGCCAAGTTGCAAGTGGCTAGTTGCAGGCCTACCTTGCGGCAAGAGCCGGAAGCACCAATGCTGCTGCTTGTTTCTAAATTGTTCCTTGCCCCAACCCCGCTGCTTTCCGCAACATCCTACCTACATTTTGGCATCCCACAAAGGGGCGCTCGACATGCGCGGCACCAGCCAGCAATGCAATCATCCCTCTCCTGCAAGTTCTAGCAACTCGCGAGCCCTCGCTGAGAAACAAGTATAAGGTAGCAAATGTGGCTAGGCTTGTAGTTCGAAGGATCTCAATTTATTCATGTCTGCGACTTATCGCGCAACTTGAGGTCTCCTCCTTTCTTTGCCCACGCGCCGGTTCCCAAGCATCTGGCCCAGCGTGCTGCAACGTGAATTTTTGAGTTGGAGCCTTGTAATTAGCAATGCTCAATGCCATGGCCGTGCACTAAGTCACTGGGCTGCATGATACTGTTGATGGACGAAATCCTGCACCACCCACGAAACCCTAGAATGATGATTCCCCTGTAAATACCAGCCAACAAGGGTTTCTCATGGTTTCCAAGTGGTGCGAAATGGATTTCGTCCATCCACAGTATGAGGGCCAATGACGCACCAGCCCCAGCCGAAGCTCCGAAGCTTCGGAAGGCGCAACGCATCTGATGCGTTGCGATGGCGTCAAACCAACGTCCCAACTTTCGAGGCGACGCTTCGCTCGTTTCTCCTCCTGTGGGCTCGTTTCATGCTTTCATCCTGGCTAGCCCCCTCTGCCCCATTGCCAGTTCTGAGGGAATGAGAAATGGAATGACCCCAATAAACCCTCCAACCGGAAGGTTCCTTTATTCGGGAATCCCCAAAACCGGTTCATTCCAACTCATTCCCTACCTATGGCACCATCCAACTGGAGGTTTCCCTTCCCCCAGTGAACATCCCAATCCAACCACCAAAATAGGGTCTAAAATGGGTGGTGAATTCACCTACCAACCAAAATGGGAATACCAAAACGGTTTTGACAACCAGTGCTGAAACCTCAGACCTCAGGTGGAAGGGCCATACGTCGTGGAAAAAATGAACACCAAATCCTATTCATATAACCACAGCCATATTATTATGTTACTCCCCAGGTTCATTTAACCACATTCCTTTAAAGGAATATATGTTTATTCCCTGTATTCGCAAGCTCCATCCGCTCACTGAAACGAGCCCCACCCCCCCCAAACCCCCCAAAGCCCCGCCTGTGGCGCGCACGGCGCTCTTGGCGCCCCAGCTGCGCAGCGCCTCCTTCGCGAGCGGCGCCCAGATCCTTGGACGTGGGAAGGCAAGCAAAGCATATGGCCGCGGCCAAAAAAAAAACAGGAATGCCAAAATGGGTTGCCCTGGTAAGTGGACACATGGACCAAGACCTGCGGTTTGCCCCTGGCCCTTAAATTTTGAGCCACACCCAATAATTTGTTTCCCCCCCCCAACAGCTGAAAGGGTTCCACGAGGGCTCCACCGTTCCACGAGGGCAGGGGGGGTGGTCCGAGCACTAGAAAGAGCACCGCATGATGTTGGGGATATCACCTGCGCTTCTTTTTTTTAGCAGTTAAGTGGGTTTGGATTTCAACCACTAAGCCACTAAACCACTAAACCACAAAAAGCAATGTAAAAAACATGTCTCCCAACAAGGGCCATGGATCTCCCGGCGCACCGCGAGCCCGTGGAGAAGCACCAAGTAGTCCCGGGCCAACCGCCCGCCTCGGATTTCGGGCGAAAGCGAAACCGACCGAAATCTGCGTCCGTTGAAATGGGACCCGCGGATCTGTGATACAAAAATGGCTTCCCCTCTTTCAAGGAGGAGATTCCCTGGTACAGAAGTGGAGAAACCCCCTGATCCCACCCTGTTTAGCCATGGTTGAAACAGCTGAAACCATAAGGTTGGTTGGTATTCCGTTGGTATTTGGGGAACCAGCAGGTGAACCAGGCTATACCAGGCTTTTCGTAGGTGGGGCGGACGGAGTTTTTGTCCCTCCACAATATGGACGAGGAACATTGTGGCCTGTGTGGCAAAGGAAGGAGATATTGGCATTTGCAGGTCTCCAACAAAACAAAGACCTGCCCGAAGTGTCTTGGACAGCTTTTGAGATTCTAGCTGGTAGACTGGTGCCAGAGGCTCGGTGACCAGTGCAGCTTGCGTCTGCCCTTTGCGGCGAACCTTCGAAGGAACGCCCAAAGTCCAGACTGCATGGGCCACTCTTGAACCCCTCGGGGGAGAAAAAAAGCCCCCAAAGCCCAGACACCCCCCCAAACAAAATACCAAAGAGGAGCCCTGGCGCCAGCCGCTCCCCTGCTGCAAACAGAGTCTTTTCGCGCTAAAAAATTGGCCAAGGAGCTGCCAAGCTGGCCCAGCAGGTCAAGGTAGGCACTGTACCTCCGGAGGTTTCGTAGGTTCTCTTGCCGGTGCGAGAGATGCAGGGAATGAGAAATGGAATGACCCCGATTCAAACCATCCCTTGCTGGTGGCTTCCTCATCTATTTTTCTACCAAACCAACCGAGCCGCGTCTTCGCGGAGAGGATCAGCCCGGAGCTCGGCACGTCCAAGCGGTGGAGGAAGCCCTTCTTGCAGCGCACGTCCTCGTTGCTTCCATTGGCACTTTCGCCCCCTGGAAAACAGGATTCCCTCTAATTTCCATTCTTAAGCAAATGGATGTGCATGCGCTGTTTTATATTCAGGGGGTTAAACGAGGTGAGTGATAACCTCAGTTCTAAATTTCATGTTGCCCCTTATGCAGCGACATGGGGAACAAAGGCCATCCACTAACGCATGCTCACCCTTTCCGTTGTTTCGGAGGAAGGGATTTGGGAGCTTCTCCTGCTCAAGGTGGGAAGAATGCCAAAGCTCGCAATGCGGACGGCACGTTCCCACCCTTTTGAGGGACTGGCTGGGAAGTGCTTAGGATGCTGTCGGCTGTTGAGGCTTGAAGCTTTGTTGACAAATGTTTGCAGTTTCTTTGTGATTGCCTGGCAGGACCCTCGAGTGCAAGAGCATTTCTTGTTTCTTCTTTCCTTACATCGCATTGCCAAATTCTGGAGGAGAAACAACTCTCCTGAAACACGTTGAGCACCAGAAATCCGCGGGTGCCCCGTGCCCACAATGCTCCTCCAGGATGGGATGCTTCGTCACCGAGTAGCGGTAGGCCATGTACTGCGAGAGCATCTCCTTGGGGCTTTCGGAGCTGAGGCCAGTTAAAGAGGAACCAAAACGCACCAGACATTCTCCCTAGGCTGGAAGGAATTTGGACCCCAGCAAATATATATATATATATATATTTTGCTTGGGCAGTGAAAAACAAAGGGACCCCAAAAAAGCAGCAGCTAATTCTGGGGAAGAATCTAGGTCCTCCAGTAGAGAGGTTAGAACAATAAGGGCACCCTGTTTTTTCTGTAGTCTATTTTCGTAGGAGAACCCAAAGCCCCAAACAACATGGTAAAAGGGCACTACTGGAGAACCTAGTTATACATCATCAACCAGGTGGAATCGTACAACACCAAAAATAAGGTATGACTTTTATGACTCTTGTACCGAGCCCTGACCTGGTTCAGGCAGAGCGGCGGGCATCAAATGTTCAGCCGCCAGGTTGGGAACTCTTCAGCGCAGGCTCTCCCACCAAACAGCTAAACGAGGAAAAGCATTCAAACAAAAGTTGGGGCTACAGCCCAAGCGTTGCCCTGGCGGGCTTAGGTCAGCCAAGCCGCGCGTGCAGCATGGTGCCTGGCAACATAGTCCTCCTCATCGCCTTCCTTGGCACAGAGTATGGAACAAATCCCACATGCTCCGCAAATTCCGGAAACACACGAATCCAATTCAGCGAGTGCCAGCATGCAGACCCCTCTTGTTGCTCAACTGTGGCCACAAGGCGGGTTGGGGGGACCGCTGCCACAAGCCGCTGTCAGTCAGTCGGGCCGAGACGCCGTATCCACTTGCCAGCCTGATGGCTTCAGCAGCACGCAGTGGCTCTCCCCATCCAGCAGCACGCGAGGGGACTCCGCGCTGGCAGGCGGCCTCTGCCAAAAAAGGCGGACACCGCTGAAATTCTGGGGGTGAGAAGTGAACGGATTGCACATGACTCTCACATACCCTCCTTCAGCTTCCTTCGACATAATTTAGCGGATTTTGAACGGATGATTGTACACCAGGGCTGCCAAATACCATCATTCAGCTTACTTTGCTACCCGCATGGGTTTGAACCTTCAAAGTAGGGCAAAACACAAAACCCAAAGACACACTGGCCGAACCACGGATTTTTTTTGGGCATAGCCCAAAACCTGGACGGTGTTCTGGAGCCGGCCATTCTAAGTCCAATGCCAAACTCTCCTATGAGGGTGAGTGAACCAGCCACACTCTGTCTCTCTACGCTGTCCCTGCCACACCCGGCTGTTGACATTGGACATCGCATGAAATCACAAAAGGCCAACAAGGCCCTCTAAACACGGGTTCTTAGGATACAGTCGGAAAACAACAAAAGAACAGAAAAAAAAAGGAAAAAACAACCACAAACCAAAAACATGAGAAAATAAACAATGTCTTGTTCACGAGGGGCTCCTCTACATCAGCTTGTACCTGGGTGACGCCCACGGCTGCGCCTCACCGGAGAGGACCCCTCCTCCACCGCCACCAGTCGGCCGCGTCGGTCCAGCTCGGCGCCGACCCGCTGCAGCGCCGAAGCTGCCCAGCCCAGGCAGCGGTGGGGGAAGGCCGCGTCCCCTCGGGTGGTGGGGGGGGGAGTAGGGGGGAGCTGGGGGGGTGTGGGAGTAGGGGGAGCTGGGGGGGTGGGGTGCAAGGGCTGTCCGCTTTCTGGTCCCCTGAACACTTTTACAACTCAGGCACCGAACGGCTATGATCTTGTGTCTAAGGGTTGCCTTTGGATTCATGAGTTTGAGCTTTAGAAAGCCGAACATGAGAAGGCATCACAGCTCTTTTGATACTGGCAAGAAGCGGGCTGAATGCCGTTATATTGCTGGGCGCTGCTTTGATTCAGCCCTTGGGCTGCTCATTGAAGCTGCGCCAGTGGAAACAAAACCTTGTTTGACTGGTGGGTGCTTTGAGTGAGGGTGGCGCTTGAAGCACACTCCACCTCCCCATATCAACACACACACACAAACAATGCCTCCCTAGAGAAAAATGCATTGCACTTCAAGTGTCTGATATCAGCGACGGCGCGACTTGAGCCGCAGCCAAGGAGCTGAAGGACCGCAGAATTGCCTGGGTGTCTACCGCCCAGTTCACGAGCGTGGTCTGCGGACTTTGGCAGAGATGCTCGAGATTGGTGGACATCAACTTGTCCCCCACCGCCTTGCCATCTTGCTGGTGCGGGAAGCAGGAATGAGGGAATGAGGGAATGACCCCTCTAAACAATCCCTTGTGGTTTCCTTTAAGGGGACCAAAGCCTGGGTTCATTCCAACTCATTCCCTACTTATCGCACCGGCAAGCCATGCATCGGTGCGGCAAACTCTCCAAGACGCCAAGCCCAGGCAACCTTCAGGATTCTGCAAGCATGGGTCGCCTTGGCTAGAAATGGGATGTTCACCAACTCGTGTCTGGTCAACCTCAAATCAAGCGACGCCAGCCTCAAAGAAGTTTAATGCCCGAACCTTAGCTGTATGGCTTCCAAGTCAACTGCAATAAACATCGTTGGACCCGGGGTATGCACGGTATGCCTTTTGAAGGCACCTGCCAGACTCCCTGTTTTGTTTGAGGGGGGGTCTGGGCCTTGGAGCATTGCCTGACTTGACATGCTTCAAACGAGCCGTTTGAAATGAGCCGTGCAACACAGGAAATACGGAAGAAGCCAAACTGGATAAAGCTAAACACGCCAAGCATTGGCCAAGTCAGCCCGCCTGTTGCTCCTAAGTGAACTTTGTGTAGACCCAAGCCTAGCGTGTGGGTTGGGCAAATGCCCATTTCCAACCAACAAGTTCAAGGTCAGAATTCCAACCAAAATGCACCAAGCTTGATTCCCATGCCTTAGGACTGCATCGGGGACCGAAGTCAAACCCAGTGCAGGACTCCGGCATCACAATTCATGCGCTTCGCCTCGAGAAGGCATCGGTTGAGTGGTGTGCATCAACTATCTGAGCACCCTTCGTTCAAGACTGCCATTTGGAGCAACCGATTTTAGTGCAAGGCCGTTCATGCATGCGTCTTTCCGCATCGGCGTCCCCAAATTTTGACCTGAAACGGAAATCCACCTGCTCTTGGCACGGTACTTCCACAAGTAGAAACCTCCGCCCCACACAACTGACCTATATACTGGGCGTGCGTGCGCCAACCTCCGCGGCCGAAAAAAAAAAAAAAAAAAAAAAAAAAGGAAAAAACAAGAGATTACAAAGCTTCACAACCCGATGGCTGATAATTTGCAAACAGCCTGCTGTTGTTTTTTTGCGGCCTCCTTCCAAAATTGAACCAACCACAACCAAAGACAAATACTTGATCCACAACCATACCCCTCACAGCACCATAGCCCCTCCCTCGGCGCCCCAACCCGCCCGACGCGAGCGCCCGCCGTCGCGACGCTCGAAGCTCGCTCGAGGCGCGGACTCGGGACTCGGGACTCGGCACTCGACGCCGAGGCGCCGCGGCCATGGCCCAGGTCACGTTGGCCAGGCCCTGGCTGCTGAACTCGGCCAGGCGCCTCGCCGCGTGGGCGCCCACCGCCTGCGCCCCTGGCAAGCCATTCATTGGTGTCCCCGCCGCAGCTTTCTCGGGGGAAAAAACCACGAACACCTGGGGTGAGGCACACTTCATTGGTGTACCCCGCAGCTTTTTCGGGGGAGAAAAAAACACGAACACCTGGGGTGGCAGGCACAGAAAAGAAAAGAAACCCGGTCCAAGTGACGGGGAAAAACGACTGAAAGAAGAAAACCAGCTGCTTCAGTGGCGCTTTTGGCTGGCGAAAACAGTGGAACTGCGCTCTTGACCAAGCCATCCGTCTAGCTGGGCCGCGCCTTGAGCAAAGGCTACTGTGGCAAAGGCCCAGGCCAAGTTCGCCAACCTTTGGCCAGCGAAAGGGTGGTGCTGTGCCAAAGTTTGGCACAAGATGCCTATTGCACTTCATGCCCGCCGAGTAAAAATATGAAGGTGAAGTCCTGTCCGGTTCCAGGGGTAGTTGTGGCACAGTCAACGCATGCTGATGCTTGGATCTCCGGGAGTGAATCGCTAACAAACGGCGCAGTCCCTCGACAACATCTTCAGCGCCCTCTTGAATGCCGCAAGCAAAGAACGTGGAATTCCCTGCAAAACCTCTGGCTTCTTGCTTGAAAACGGGGCATCCAACCCACGCAGAGGGAAAAAAAAGCAACGCCGCGTCCAGTTCTCAAGGCCAGCGGCTGCTGCGAAGTCGCCTCCTGGCAACGCCCGTTGAGCCTTCGCGCGATCGCGGCGAAGACCGCCGGGTCCTCCTCTCAGGAAAAACAAAAGTCGCTTGCGAAATCTGCTCCCCTGCTAAAAGTGACCAACTTTTGGTGGGTTGATGGAAAACCCAGTAGTTGGCAAAAAGTTAAAGTCCTAACATTCAAGCAAAATGCACCAAAGTAAAGTCTGCTGGTGCGAAATCGGTAGGGAATAACAATTGGAATGAACCTAGGCTTTGGTTCCCGAATTAGGGACACCACCAGTTGGATTCGGTTTTTTGGGGGTGCATTCCATTTCTCGTTCCCTGCATCTCTCGCAAGTCTTGGGAGCTTCCTGTTACCACCTTAGGGGGCTCCAACCTTTTCTCACCCCTTAAAACTCCAAGCCCTGGGGAATCTTTCACAGACATATAGCCCATGTCACCTCCCAAAAAGTTGAGAAGTTGTGTTTGAGAGGTAAGACTATTTTCCTCTTGGAAAGGGGCTTTGTGCACTTCCATGTTTGGTGGGAGGGTAGTGGGCCAAATGGAAATCCCCACAAACAAACTTTTGGCCTTCTGGGCCCCAGGAAGCCTCAGCCAAGGTGAGGGAGAGCTCCCTGCCACTCCGCCGACGCCAGTCGAGCGATGGCAGCCCCCACATGCCCCCAGTTTATTCATAGGGACTGTCCACCGGCGTCGGCGCAGCGCGTGGCGATTTTCATCTAGCAGTTGTGGGAGGGTACCTGCCAGATCAGCTTGCCCTGAAGGCGCCATTTTAGTGGGAGGGAGGGCAACTAACTTTGATACCACCTAACAGTGGAAATGATGGGCCCGGCCTCTTTGTGTCGGGCTGTGTTGCGCTCGGGTAAAGTGGCCCAAGCTTGAAGAAGGATAGGGAGTTTGGAAAGCCATCGCCAAACATGCTAGGTACCAATCCTTTGAGACCAGGTGGTCGGCGATGAACAAACACAGCAACTCAGTGAAACGACAGGACACACTGTGACAGTAGCTTAAATCCGAGTTGCGTAGCCAAGGATACCACGTTTGTACACCATGGAACTGTCTTGGGCCAACATAGCCACTCACTTCCTGAGTTGATGGTTGAAAAGAAGTCCAAAAGCTCTTCGTTTGCCACTAAAATGGTTCTCTTAAGCCCCAAAAGAGTTTGAAGTCCGAAACGGAACCTTTCGGAACTCAGGAAGTGAGAGCCGTTCTCATTGGAAGGGTATTCAACTATCGACAAAACGTCCGTGTTTGGAACTGAATCGGGCCCTGTTGAACAATATGTTTGCGGCATTTTGTCTTTGGGTGGCAAAAAGGGTATTCGTCGTCTTCCTCCAAGCGCTGCTTGTCATTCGTCGGCTTGGTTTGGTCTTGTGCCTTCGTCGCTCAGCCCCAGCCCATTGAGCTCGTGGCTAAGGCTTCTAGCCAGCCGAAGCAGTAAAGAGCTAGCTCACTGCGCCCAAACAGGCCCCCCGGCTGACAAATGCCGGGCTTGGGGAAATCTTGCCGAGATTAGTGCAGGTGGAAGCGGACATCTTATGGAACAGTTGTGATATTGTTTCAGCACGTTTCGCAAGTGAAGACCGTGAGAGAGCCATACAAGGTTGGCGCTGGAAACGCCCAGGGCCGCGTCCTGCTGCAGCTTGGCAAGGGCCCAGGCGCCGTTGGCCAAGTCCTGGATGCCGAAGGCGTCCAAATCCGTCAGCTGCGAGGTCAAGCCATGCAGCACCTCTCGCCGAGAACTCCGGCTTTGGCATCGACATACCACAACAAACATCGGAGGAAAACAGGCACTGGGGTCCGGCACAGCTCCCTTGTGCTTATGGGCGCTTGCATGACGCAACCAAATGGGCCATGCTCTGCAGGCTGATTTAGAAGGGAAAGGGCATAGAGCAAAAGCAACCTCTCGGGGCCACATGGCAGCTCATGCGAGACCAGCATGTCAGGAGAGTGCACATACACTCCTCCAAAATTTTGTGACTCTGGATGTGTGGGCCGCGCCTGCTCGTCATGCAGCACCATGCTCGCAGCAGACCATAGCAGGTTGACGAGCCTTAGGATTGACTGCCACTCAATGCTGTGTGTGTGTGTGCTCACACGGGTTTCTGTTCACTCGTGTGGCCACCAAAGCCGTCCCAAAAGCAACACCCAAAACGCATGGCCCAGAGCGATGCTACTACGAATGCCAAGTTGAGCACAACATCTGCGCCACCAGCATGTTCAGCAAAAAGTCCGTAAAATTTCTCGCGGGGTTGATCAACAGTTATATACCCTTGGTCATTTGGTGGGCCGAATGGAGTATGGGGACCCCCTTTCCAACCACAAGCCTGTTCTTTTTCGACCTGCATCTTCCTTTCTGCTTTTTATGGGTCAAACAAACGCGCTTTTTTTATTTAAAAAAAAAAAAAAAAAAAAAAAAAAAAAAAAAAAAACGGAGCATTGGTTGGGGGCTCCCCATTCAACGTTGAGCAGCCCCCAGGTGGCACGCTTCAAGCGTCCAAGCTGCTCCTGCGGGCCGAGGTTTTTCTCCGCCGCTTGCTGCGCCATCCGCGACCCCAGCGCCGAATCCGCCCTGACCTTCGCCAGCGCCCACAGCAGGCTCGACAGCTCCTGTGCCTGGCGGTAGGTTGCCAGGTGCTTGTGCTTGGCCCAACTGCGTATGCATTGTGTGCACTTATGGACAGATAGGTGTATATACATATATATATATATATATATATATGTATGTATGTATGTATGTATGTATGTATGTACACCCATACAAACGTGCAGATTACTAAAGGCACACGTATGTGCATGAAACCACAGGATGTGTCTACCTTGGAAAGATTGAAACCAAAAATCATTATTTGCCTGCCCACACATATGTATATATATATATATATGTGTGTATACACATGCATGCGTGTCATATATGCATATGTACGTGAATACTTCCTCACGCACATCTAGGGTAGCATCACAAAGCTTGAACCCCCCCCCAACAAGAACCGCCCCTTTAAACACGTACAAAGGGGCGAAGGTGCTACTCTAGAGCCATGAATCCATGTGTTTGCTTTGTTTTTTAATCTTATCTTACTATTATTTTTTGGGCGGATGGGGGCGCCGGGGGCTTTCGCACGCACCACCTCACGCGCACCGCGCCCAACGCGCGAGCGGCCTTCAGCTCGTGCGCGCGGCGCTGGGCTTTCAGCGCCAAGTCTCTCGCCAGCTCGGCGGCCATCAGCCGAGCGAAGGCCCAGGCGCTGTTCGCCTCGGGTTTTGGGGTTTGGGGCCACGGGAAGGGGTGGGTTTTCATGTCTCTTCAGATCCTTTCGGGGTTAGGAGTTTTTTTGGTGTTTCAAGGGTAGGGAAAATGGGTTTTCGGGGTTAAGGGGGGTATGTGGGGGGATCGGTTGATTCGGAAACCTGTGGAATTGTGCCCCCGAAATCGGCTGGTCATTGGACTTCCTCTGAGTTACTGCCAAGTTCCACCGAAGAGGCCAATTGTATCCCGAAACTAGTCATTGGATTTCGTCTTGAGCTGGGATTTACTGCCAAGTTCCACGCGTCTACAAAAGAAAAACGGTGAGGGATCCACGTCCAGGTCCTCCAGCAGGGAGGTTAGAATAAGGGTACCCTTGCTTCTGGTCTATTTTAGCAGGGGAACCCAAAACCCCCAAAAAGAAACGGTCAAAGTTGGCACGACTGAGAAGCCTAGAACATATGTCCAGTGATAGATTCCCTTTAAAAACAGTGCAAAATCGAGAACAAACACTCATTTCAGCTCAAATGGGAGTCTCAACACACTAGGGGTTTGGTTTCCTTCCAGTGAAATCGACTGGACCTCATCGCTTCCCCAGGCGCCAGGTGCTGCGCGTTGAGGTCCCGCGCCGCCACCTCCCGCGCCGCCGCGGAGATGAGGTTCGCCGGCGCGGCGTCGAGGCGCGCGAAGGACCACAGCAGCCTGGGGGACGCGAGGCGCGGAGGCGCAGAGGCGCGGCGCCTGGTAGTGACATTAACCCCCCCCGCCAAGCTGAATGTGTGTGTGTGTGTGTGTGTGTTTTTTGTTCTTTTTTTTGAGGGGGGAAAGAAGCTGAATGTTGGGGCGGGGGGCGGGGGGGGGGGGAAGTTGTTCTTTTCTTTTTTCGGGGTGGGGGGGCGGAGGGAAGCCACTATTGAACCGCTGGCCGTTTTCGTAGGTCGCCCTGAAAAAAGAAGATGGGAACGCAACATGGGCGTGGCGGAAGCATGTTCCTGCAAATCAGTGGGGTGTCTTCCGGCAGTTTTCAAGGCTCAGCCAGAGTAGCCGGGCAAGCGCCCACAAATTCACAGCCAAACTAAGAGTGAAGGAAGTTTGTGCAGCTGCTGCTTGGCTGTTGAGCACCTGAGTGCCACATTCAACTGACCAAGGATTGATCACCGCCCGGTCTGCGAGTCTCAGACTTGAAGGGCACGGTGCATCTGCCGCGCAGCGCCAGTTTGCTTCTGTTAGCCATGTGTGGCCAAACCAAGTGCCCATACTTCCACGCTTTTCGGCAGTGAGGCCCAAAGGAAGCAAGCCTTGCGCAGAGATCCAACCCAGCAAAGAGTTTAACTCTTTGCTGGTTAAAAGGAAAAAGCCTAAAAGATCTAACCCAATAGCAGTACAGAGAAGTAGCAAAATAATACAACATGCACATGTGCCATGATCATGATTACAGAAAGCCGGGAAATTAAGTTCACTCCCAATGCCCCCAGCGCCCGCTCGGCCAAAGCGCATCGTCAGCTCTTGGTTTTTGAACTCCTCCACTACCTGCACCGCTTGTTGAGCAACCTTGGCATGGCCATGGGCCACGTGCGCGGCTTGGGCCACATATTGTCCATCAAAGCCGACCATACCAATGAGACTGTCAAACGCGTTGGAGCTTTCATGCGAAAGTCAAACAAACTTAGGAAGCATGTTTGCAATCGCTCGGTGCATTTGTCTTGCGTTCGCCACCGAAGTCCAGGATGGCCCAAGCCAGGGTGATCAGCAGGGCCAGAATTTACCCACCACGCTGGCTGACCCCTGCAACCAGGCGCTAAACAGCTAGGTCCTCCAGTCGAGAGGTTAGACCCGTTTTTTCTGCCGTTTATTTCAGTAGAAAACCCCTCCCCCCCAAAAAAGAAACGGTAAAAGGGCACTGGGGGACCCAGACAGGGACGCTACCCGTGTCCGGCAGCTACCCTGCCTCGCCGACACATGCCAACTCCCCCGGCCGAAATGTGACTCCGGGGCGCGGCTTCCAGCGCGGGGCCTCGGACTCGGCTCGGCCTCTTCTGTGGGCTTCAAAGCCAACCCCTTAAAGGGGGCGGGGTTGTGGGGGTGGGGGAGGGGGTTGGCCAGTTCCGGGGGGTTGTGGGGTTGTTGTAGGGGGGGGTTGTGGGGGGGGTGGCGGGGGAAGGTGGGTTGGCCAGTTCCCCTGCGAAGTCCATTGAAGTTCGCCTAGGTGACTTTGTTGCAATAAAGTGCGCCAAGTGGGTCCGCTGGCAGATTGGTGTCCGTTGGCAAGCCTTTGTGACTGGCCGAGCCACTCGCTCTGCAGGCACTGTGTTCTTGCGCACCGGTGACTGCTTGATTTAACTCTTTTGAATTCTGAGTGGCAAGCTGGGGTTTTCGACTGATTGTGGAGCAGGGTGCGCCGCCAGCCAGCATTCGGTGGAAACAGCGATCGGATGGATGGGAGCCCATTCAGATTTACCACGCAGCGAGCTGGTCAGGTTGCAGCTTGTTCTGCATGGAAGGTGAAACTAACACTTTCCTTGGCTGAGGAAGCACAGTTCGAGGGTCTCACACAGAAGTGACCTGCACTCTGGACTTCCTTGCTCCAAACTCTCCTGATCAGTGCGTAGTCTTGGGGCGCATTTCTGACACGCACGCCATGCTCCAAGCGAAACTCGGCAGAACCAGTAGGCTGCGAATTCAAACTCCATCTCGGGCAATGCCGGATCCACACAAACCCCCACCTCTTGCCCTTCCCGTGAGCGACCCGAACGTCAGGTGACTGGTGGTGCTCCACATGGCAAAGGCCCAGCTGACGTTCGCCAACTCTTTGGGCTTGAAGTAGCCCTCGGCTTGTGATGGCCATATCCGGGACCCGAACGTCAGGTTCCATGTTATTTGGTGGGAGGGTAAATGGCTGTAACTCCCCGAAAGTTCTCCGCTGGAGAGGCGTGCTGGGAAAACTAGTCATTGCCTCGTTTCTGTGGCATCTTCATGTTTCTTGCGGGTTTCCTGGTTCCTTGGCAGTTTTCCCTCACTGCAGCCATGCATTCAATTGCGCAAAGCAAAAAGACATCAGTTAGCCACTTCTGGAAAGAATCCGTCTTAGTACATGCGGTACCCACATAAGCGCCGTAACCCGCTGCAGGCCTCAAATTCCGGATCTTTCTGACATGTTTTTTCTGCATCTGAGCCGCGGCATGAAGAGCAGAGCTGCGACCCACCCTCGGCTGCTTTGATTTGAAGACACGCGAACGCGCACGGGGGCCTTCTGCGTGCAGTCTGAGGAATGGGACGGGTACCGTGTTAGATCCTCAATTTGCATTGTAATTCAACATAAGCTGTGTAGGCATCATGCTGCCAAATCAGTCCTGTAAGGGCTGCACGCACAAGACCACGTTGCAAATCGATGCCGTCTAACAAACCGCTGCGGCTACTCGAGGTCAGATAAACGCGCTCCGCAGAACAGGGGCGGCGACCAAAGGAAGTCTAAGCATTGTAGCCACACCTTTGCAAAAGGCACAAATGCAAGAAACATATTTGCGGATGGTGCAACTAGTTAGAGAGGTCAACATAGCGATGCATAATGTCATTACTGATTTCTCAATGCCCACGCGAACTCATCAGCTCTATACGCGCAAAGTGTGCTGGCCACATGTCTCATGGGGGGACCCAAGGTAGCTGCCAGCCAAAGGTCGCCTGCATCATCTCCTCGTCCTTGACCTGCAGCTTCCTCAGCAAACAAGGAGTCCTGCTACTGGCTTCACCCGCCCAAAAGAAGTTCATCTTCATCTGGCCCAAAAGGTGATGTGTAAAACCACCAGAAAAGGACACACCTATATCTTATATATATATATGGAGTTTTGGGAACCCTGTCACTTTCTACTTCAAGAACAGCACGAGCTTTGTACTGGGAGAAAAAGGGGCTGGATCCTTCCCGATCCCAGTGGCATGAAGCCTTTCCACCCTGCACCGGGCCAAGTGTCGCAAAAGACCAGGCCAGCATTGCCTCAGAAGGCGAAAGGCGATAAAAGGCACGTGCCTTCCGGTGAACAAAGTGGATGTGACCCAGGGAGTTGGTGCTGTTCTTTTCTTTTCCCTCTACTCCAAGAACCTTTTATTTTAAAGGTTCTCGAAAATAACCGGGTTCTTCGCGGGAAAACCCGGTTTTATGAAAAGCATACAAACGTACGGGTTTTGTATGGGTTTTGTAATGTTTTGTACAGGTTTTGTATTGTTTTTGTATGGGTGTTTAAAAGTAAAACCGGGTTTTCGGTTGGAAAACCCTGTTTTCGGTAAGCCACAGGCTCAAAACCAGGTTTTTCGTTCGCATCCTTTATTTTTAAAGGTTCTTGGAGTAGAGGGTTGGTTTTACTTTAAGACCACCAAACAAGGGTATACCCCCGACAAAAGACCGAGCCAGCTACAGATTCTGCGTTGATCTTGTTGGTCAAGTTGCTGCTGTGATAATGTGGTGAATCATCGTGCGGAGTCTGTGCTGCAGCTGGGTCAAAAGCACGCTCTACAAGGAGACACCCGGCCTAAACCCTTCCTGTCAAAAGCACCAACAGCCGTGCTCAACGCCGCACACAACCCTACAACCATGCAAGACCTCCCATTTTGCAAAACCCCGCCACATCTTCCAAACATTATTCCATCCGGTTGTTTCAACAAGGTAGCCCCACGAAATGCTTTGTTCGCCCTCAACATACCTCTCTCTCTATATGTCTGTGGGGGTTGATCAATGTTCCTGGCCCTCAAATGACCATGGGTATTTTTCCCGTTTCATTGGGTATATATATATACTTTAGTGGTTTCCCCCATGGTCATCCCATGCATATATATACTTTAGTGGTTTCCCCCATGGTCATCCCATGCAAAGGAATTTTGATCAACCCACATATGCCAACCAGAAATAATTTGCGGCCAAAGGGCTAGGCCCGAATGCGGGTGCAGATGACAGCTCCGCGCCCTTTCGGCCATACGCTGCAGGAGTGGCAACGGCTCCTCACGAAGCCGCGCAGTGACCAAAGACCTCAGCCATGACGTCACTCAACCATGCTCAAGTTAGCCTCGTGTCCGCTGGCATGGGACATCATGGGACCTGACGTTTTGGGGTCCTGGTCCTGGCTTGGACAACTTTCCGCTACAATGGACCATGCCTCTGGTGGGTTCCATGTTGGTGGGCAGGAGGGTACTTAACCGGGAATTTCAATTCTAGGGAAGGCTTGGCGCGCACGGGGTCCAAGAAGTCAGGAAGCACAGACTAGACCCCAGCTTTTTCAGGGAACATTTCTGGAACCTGGGCAAGTTGACAACGTAGAAACAAACAAGTGCGCGAACCACTTTTGGAAGACTACTTTTTGGCAAGAGGTTCTGTGCACTACTGTGAATGGACGAAATCCATTTCGCACCACCTAAGAAACCCTGCCAACAAACGTTGTGGTTTCAACCATGGCCTCATTTCGTGACGCGAACCGATTTCGGTCATGCGCACCATTCTAGAAAGCGGTTTGGATGTGGCTTTTATGGATCCACCCCTGTAGAATATCAAACGAGTACTAAGAGACTACTAATTAAACAAGAAGCAGCAGGGGAAAGAACAGGGGAAATCCACAAAACATCGCATCCAAACAGTTTCCAACTTTTATTGGGTCCAATTCCGAAAGTCCCACTTGTTTCAACCAACTAAGTTTTAGTCCAAAGACCCGTCACCAAGAAGCAACCAAGCTACATGCTGCAAGCGTTCCATCGACTTAGATCGAAGCTGCGCCTTTGGGAACTTAGCGCAATCCAAGACAGGGGTGGCACTCAGTCCCTTTCTCAAAAATTGGCACCTGCACTTCCCTTTTTTAGGCACTCTTCAAAGTTCGCACTAGGCGTCGAATCTCGCCGAGGGTTCCTTCTCCCCGCTCCCCGTTCCCGGCTCCGGACTCTTCGGGGTGCGCGAATCGTGCCAGGGAGCCAGGCGAGACGCGAGAGCTGCGCTGCCTGGAACTCCTCGAGCTGCTCGCACCTCGCACGAGGGTCGGTGAGCAGAGGTGACCTTTTGGATCGAAGTCGTTGGGTTTCCTTGCGGTAAATGCGGCATAAAACCCGGTGCTCAGCCGTGGAACTCATCTATTTCTGTCCAAGCTAAGGGACGCCTATGACTCGCCGGTGACCCTGAAACGCGATAAAAACTACATGAAAACGGGAAGCCGGAAAGTGACGCCCTCCATGTAAGAGACCGGAGAGACTGGGAATTATCCATATCGGCTGGTTTGCTGACGACAGAGAAGCCGAATTGCGCCGGAAGCAATTCACAGCGAAGGGCCAGGGCCATCATGAACTCATCGAAGTGCCTTGCCATTTTCTGCTGCAGTTTCGGCTGTCTGATTCACCTAACGGCACCCAGCAAACCAGAAGATGGGACCTAGGGGCCTTCCTGCAGGAAACCGAATGAGAAGCCTCTGCAGCAGGCCCCGCAGCGCCGAAGAACCGCGGTCGCCCAGCTTCACCAAAGCCCAGCTTCCATAGGAGAGCTCCTAACTTGTCCAAGGGATGCATGGCCTAAGTTTCTATGTTTCCGCGCCCCACGACTGACTTCTCGATTTAGTTGTCCGAGTCCGGAATTAGTCCGAGTCAATTTGCAGGGCCCCCCCCCCCCCCCAATTTTGTGCGCTGCACTTCTCATGGCGCACCGCGCACCGCTCCAATCAAAACGCCTGAAATCCCAATTGGCAACCGCTGATGTGCACAAGTATCTACGCAGTTGAGCAGAGAAGAACCCAGCCCTTGCATGGAACAATGACATGATTGCTCATCACGCCTACTTCGTTCCCGAGCAATCTTGGCAAACAGCCAAGAATCTGGGAAAACCAAAGTCCCCTCCTCCGACGAAATTTCAAGCTAACAGGCTGGCAGGAGCCGTCCTACCATTGGCCCAAAACGACCTGTCCAGGGACATCCAGTTGAAGAACCTCTGTGGTCCAGCTGATGCAAAATGGTTCGCCGAGGCGTGTCCGCACCAAACAAGTACCATAGTACCTTGACGTATGGCGGAATTGCTCAACCCAGTACGATACGGCAGTGGGTCAAAAATAGGTACCCAAAATGGAACCCTGGCAAATGGACACATGGACCAAAACCTGCCTAACCCCTGGTTAATCTCGAGCCACACCCATATTCTTGGCATGGTAGCAAAAAACCTTGTTTTTTTTGCAGACCCCCAGCAAAAAATGAACTGAACCAACAAAAAACCAAGAAGCCCCCAAAAAACCACGCCCCCCGAACCGCGCGAAGCTATCTGCTCAAACCACTTGCCTTTCCTCTCTCTCTTCCCCTCAGAAGTGATTCAACGATCCGGTCCTCCGGCGCCGGCCGCCCCTTTGCGACGGATCGACGGGGACGGGCCCCCGGTTTTGGCGCGAAAGGTCCTACGACCCTCGGGACCGCGCGACGCCACCTGCGACGCCCTGCGGAAACGTTTTTTGGCGTCCGGTGGTTGCATGGAACACCCCGGAAAAAAAAGTGGGCGAACAGTGGGCGACAAGTTGGCGAGTCCGAACATCCAAGGAAGATGCGCCGAAGAATCGATGGAGGGTTTTCGGGGTAGAGGGAAAGAGCTACGTGCCACGACTCAGGGCAGGTACTTGGGCCCAAATTCATTGAGGTAATGAAGGGTTGTATGCTTGGGGAAGGAAGAGCAAAACGTGTTTGCTTTTCTCCTGTGCCATTGTTGGCTTTGGCTCAGCCTATGCCATGATGATATGTTGCTGCCATTTGAACAAGTACAACTCTGAGGCCGACCCAGAACTAACCATGCACTGTTGGGGTCATACAGCTGGGCGGGCGACTACAAATTTCACCTGCCCAAACTAGGGCGTTCGGAACCAGCGATTTTTTGGGCATGCCCAGCTTCAAACCCTCACCGACCGAAGCTTGAAAGGCCAAGGGCGCACATCCGTGTCACAAAACGACCTGCATCCTCAATCCCGAAAATGCATCGCGTGCCCCTCCTCCCCCCCCCCCCCCCAAACAAACAAAAACAACAAAGCCAAGAAAGAAACAGACTCCCCCCCAACGGGTTGGTTAGATTTTTTTTGGGTCCAAGCCCCTGCCTTCTCAAAGCTCCGCTCCAGAGCCTGAGCGACCGCCAGCTGCATTCATTGGCAACCAAAATGATCTGATTATAGGTGTCCATTTTTGGACAAATAGATGGGCCTGGTAGATCCATTTGAACCATCAGGTGTTTTCCAGGAATCAAACCCCCCTCTATTTTTCGACCAAATCAACACAAAAGATCACCTATGGATCTGACCCCAAGAGTGCTGCTGGCGTCAGAAGTGGTATCGTGGTATCCTTCAGACATCATTTGTTCATATGGCAATGCCACGCTTTTCCGGGCACAACCTAGTCGTGGACGGAGGCCTGGGGGCGCCACATGGGCCATACACCTGCAGGACACTTGGCCATGGGGCATAACTTATGGCTCCATTTTGGGGTGGATGAACATCCATTTGCCACCTATTTTGATGTTCACCAGGGCTTTCCTGGGTTTTGACCCACAGCCAAAACTTCTGAGATGGCATCTGGTCAACTCTCAGACATCTACATTTTGACCTTGGCGGATCCACAGCCGTTCCATTCTCACTCACTTTGCTGGATGTGCTTTGGGCAAGGCCAACCCTGTTTTGGCGTAACCGCTTGCATGAGCCTGGAGGTTAGATTCAGACAATTTCAACTCTGCGCGTTCCAACCTTCTCTGTCCTATGACTCCATCCTTTCATGAAGAGGCCAACTTCGAAAAAAACGATGGCATTTTGGCAGCTTGTCATTGGTTGGTTTGAGCTTGTCCTGGTCAGTCATTTGCCCAGGCAGGTCAAGAACGGTGCACGCGGTGCTGACTTGCAAACCGCATCAATCGCGTTATTTTGTTGGCTCAAGGGCAACTCGGATTGAAGGCAACCCGTGTTCCGCTTCGGTGAAACATGCTGGCGAGAAATGCAGCCGCGCCCCCTTGAAATGCCTCGCCTTCTGGGGATGCGCAAGACCCACGCCCGCCACCCGTCGAGGCGCGTCTTGAACTCTTTGAAGTCGCTCTTTGGAAGCTGCCCGCCTTCCAATCTCCAAGTTGCCGCGGAAACTCCACTGAGAAACTGCTCTCTGCTTCAGGGGTATAGTCAAAAAAGACAGCTGCCTACTGGAAGTGCAAATCCTGCTGAATACACAAGCTTTGCAAATGAACTCCTGCCCGGTAGCAAAAACAAGAGGTGCTCACCTCGTTGCAATGGCTGTCCCCAAGGTTGGCAGTTGAGCCTATAGCATTGGAGCCCCTTCAAAAGTGAGCGCACCATCGGCGGACTGAGAAAACTCCAGACGACATAACTCGCCTCTGTGCTGCTTGTGCGTTGGCCGCCGAGATCATGGCTGACACGCAGTCGGGCGGATTCAGGTCGGCCTGCCACACAGGCCCCAGGGCCCCAGGATCCAGCTTGCAAGGATGCTGTTGCAAGATCAGGTTCAACCACCGAACAGGGAGCACAAGATCGTGACAAAAAAAAACATCCACTGTCTCCGTCCTCAATCAGTGGTCGCTTGGAGGAGCTGACTCTGACATGAGCTGCCAATGTGGTAGGCTAAACTCTTCAGAATGAAACCTTGGGCAGGGCTGAGGCTAATGAGACGTAACACAACACGCCTGGATGCCGTGATTCAAACAAACGAGCCTCTTGCCTTTTCCTGAAATGTACTCTCCCTCCCACTAACATGGCAACTGACACAGGGTACCCCCAAAAGGAAAGACCCAAAAGGAAAGGGGTACCTCCCACAGGTGCTATGTTTGTTGGAGGGAGGGTAAATGGCTGTGGGTCAAAGTTAAACCACCAAGCGAGCGCAGTTTTTAGTCTATGTTTCCTTCTACTTAGATTCCATTTTGGTACATATTTTTGACCCACAGCCAAATGAAAGCGATGCACTTTCAACAAATTGCCCCATCTCAGCCATGATTCGACCCCCTCAGAGCCTCAGAGAGGAGCACGTCCAAGGCATCCGCTACCCTGGCGGCATCCTGCAAAAGCCGATAGGTGCCTTTTGGAAAAATAGATGGCCCTGGTAAATGGAATGAACCATCTAAACCAGTGCCATCTATTTTTAACGAAACTGACCTGAAAAGGACACCTATGGAACCATGCCTCAATCATCCTCAACCCCAAACAACTTGTTGCTTCCAACCTAAGCGCTTTTGTAGCCATGAGGGTCCACCTCTACACCATGCCACGCGCCCGACGCGCCCCCGCCTGCGGCGCCAGACGCCGAAAGCGCTTGAGCTTTTGCAGCTGCAAGGTGGCCTCTTCCGGCTTGGTCCTTGGCTTTCCAAATTTCTTCCTTCCTTGCACAGGGCGGTCCGTTTCCTCCATTTGCTTAAGTCCCCTGGAAAAATCGATGTATTTCCAGTAGTGATAGGTTCACTTTAAAATTAAAACCAACAGGGGGAACATATTCTTAACCAAATGGAAGCTGTTCTTATCCCCTAAAAGTCGAAAAGTGTGAATGGGGTTCCGTGGAAACTATCACTCAACCAACTAAAAACCTAACCACCGAATTTGGCGGCATCAGATGTCCCTTTGGTAGTTTGGGGTTGGTGGTTTGGGGTTAGTGGGGATTTGAACCTTCTGGCTCCTGTGGGTATGGGAAACTACCAAAGACCATCAATCCAAACCAACTGGGAAGGTCGGCGTCGGCAAGTCCTTGCTGCGACAAGCATGGAATGTGGGCATGAACCCAGGCGTGTCCCCGAATAAAGGAAGCCACCAGTTGGATGGTTTTCTGGGGGTCATGCCAATTCTCATTCCCTGCATCTCTCCCACCCAGGGGACCCCTTAAAGGAAACCACCGGGGATGTTTGTAGGGGACATTCCAATTCTCAGATTCTCAATCCGTGCATCTCTCGCAGCACTGAGTAATGTTGACCGAGCATCTTTTTTGGGGGGTGGTCCCTCCAAAAGTGGTCTGAATCCAACCACTAAAAGGAGACACCCTATGAATCAAAATCAACCAGGATTCTGCTTCCGGGGTCAACATTAGGGACTGGCAGTACTGTGGATGGACGAAATCCATTTCGCACCACCTGAGAAGCCCTGGAATGATTCAATTCCCCAACGTAAATGCCAACAAACAATGGCTTCCCATGTTTTTAGGTGGCGCGAAATGGATTGCGTCCATCCACAGTAGGGCACCTCCCCTTGGATCATCCCCACCGTTTCGTAAAAAACTCCGAGGCGCAGGTCTCGGAGCACCTCCTCCAGCGTCTCCATTTGAGTGCCTCGGCCTGACTTGCCATGAGCAGAACTCCAGGTGAGCAAACCGCTGGCTGAACGAGGCTCCTGTTTATGTGCCTGCGGCGAACTCAAAAAACCGGAATTCCAAAACGGGTTGCCCAAAGCCGGGAATGCAGTGGAAAAAAACAAACGGGTGCCACACCTGCAAAACTGCCCCGGTCCTGTAGCATTTTCCGGACCCATTTGTGGGACTGCGAGCCAGGGATCGATGCCAGGGCCCCCAAGCAGATCCCTGGCAACAGAGCTGCTGAATGAAGCGGAATCCGTGCGGAGTCCGTAGCGTTTACAAGTGCCAGTGGTGAGGCATCATAGCAAGTCTCTAGCTTTTACAAACGCCAGTGTGGAGGGATCAACGCAAGTAACTAGCAACCATGGCACTTTCATGGGATGATACCTGCGAAAGCAACGCACTTTGCAGGAAGCCCAGTCCGGGGGCTGAGTCCAATTCAACCGCAAACGTGGCATGCATCGCCCTTTTGATGAGCCTTCTCCTTGAACAAAATCAACATCCCCAAAATAAACGACCCCCGCCTTTTCGGCAGGGTGACAGGCCATTTCGGCCCTTTCGCCCAGTCTGCACACTTCTTGCAGGACCCACGTTTTGATCACTGGGACCGCGCCTCCGGCCACAGCTGCGCAGCATGCCAGCGAGACCTGCTTTGACCCCACATTCAACCAACCAGTTTCTTAAGAGCGGGGGTGGGGCCCCTCCAAAAGTGAGACATCTCCACTAAACCCCCCCCCCCCGCCCTCAAAAAACAAACAACAACACGCCCTATTAAGAAACTGAGTTTTCGTTCATGTGTCAACATTATTCCCATCTCCGGGCGGCCAACCTGTGAACTGTGGCAACGGAGTCCGCAACTTTCGAAATGGCATGGCTATGTTTGATCCTGGTCGAACGTGACAAGCATGCGGGGCCAAGGAAAGAACAAAATGCAAAGCCAAGCGTAAAATAACAAATGGCTCCACAAATGAACACTGACGAATACAATTTGTTGCGGGACGACCACACCAACCCACCCACCCGCACCAACCCACCCACCCACCAACCCACCCACCCACACCCACCCACCCGCCCGCCCGCCCGCCCGCCCGCCCGCACGCACGCACGCACGCATACGCACCCATGCGCACGCACGCACGCCCCCCAAAGCACACACACACACACACGCGCGCGCGCGCAGGCACGCAGACACCCACGCACACGCCCGCCGCGCGCACACATGCGCGCAAGTAAGCACGTGCGCATCCACCCACCCCCACCAACGCGCGCGCACACGAGTACACACGCACGTGAATGGACCGTACGCTGGCTGAAGAATGCATATTGCATGTGTTCATGTCAGGGCGACCATCTATATTTGATGGTGCAATCCTTGGGAGCAAGATAGGCGCATCAGACACCTAAGACGTGTACCGCTTGCCTTTGCGAGTGGACGCGACCAGAATCAACCTACCTTTCTTTGTGGGCATCCTCTCGGTTGCGGGACTAACGCCAATAGAATAGTGCTTAAGTCAGCGCGTCCAACGACTTTCTATCTGACGCATGGACCCAATGGCTGCCTGTAAGTCAGACTGGTGATCCTCCCTTGTTCTAGCCATAGTCAGCACCCACTGGCTGCATGCATAAGTGCAGGAAGGTGACTAGGAAGAACACAACAAGTCAATGACGCCTTGCATCTTGAAAGCAGTGAGCTGCACGCAGCAGCAAAGGCAACTCGCATGAGGCGACATTGTGAACAGGCCCTCAATCCTCAGCAAAATATACAGCTGGAAACGGCCAGAATAGATCTTGATTTGGCCACATTGACATGGTTCGATCGATGCCCAAGATCGTGCCTCTGCCCTGACAGCTCGTCCCAGTCCTGCGGCAAAGAACCCAATCCTCATGGGTACGGCAGCCACTCGTGCAGCCTAAAGGCCATCCTGAAATTTGGCGCATAGCTTCAAACTGAGTCAAGGGGACCTGGAGCGTTGATTTCAGAAGCTTCATTCCCCTCGTGTCACTCAAACTCATTCATTCTGAGCACCTTCTGCACATGTAAACCTCTCCGCGCAGCAGCCTCCTCATTCTCGTCATCCCTCACTACATGCTCATCTAGGTCCTCCAGTAGAGGTACCCTTTGTTCTGTAGTCTATTTTGGTAGAGGAACCCTCCCCCAAAAAAGTTGGTAAAAGGGCAACTAGCTGGGGGACCTAGTCATTCTTCAAAGCCAATCAGCTGAACAGCCACGGCCACGCCGGCCTGCGCGACGATCGCGCTGCTCGTGCCCACCTGCAAACGAAGCTCAAGCCCGAAGAGTTTGAGTTGCTCGCAGTCCATAAAACTTGGCCCAGAAAGAGATGACGCAAGGAACTCCAGTTCGTTCGACCGATTTTGGGAGTAGTTGCTGCCCTTTCACAAGGACCCCACCCTGACTTCCTCCTGGGTGGATGTTGGCCACGGGTCACCTATGCCATGGTTCCCCTGGAGAATGTGCTTGTGCCCAGGCCATTCATTCCGCGTGTCCAAATCCGTGGATGTGTCTTCAAAGCACTCGGCATCAGGGACAATTGAATGATGAGACTCCCTCAGTGCCCCAAAGCTGCCGAAAAGTTGAATTGATGAGCCTCCAAGTGAATGCCCCTCAGTCACCCAAAGCTCCCTTGTTGCAAACCAATCAGTCCCGCTTCTCCCACATTTTGCCGGAAGCCAGCTGGCCCTGCCTCGCGGACAGGCCACGTGACCCGGCCGCAGCCATGGCACACCAAGGGACATATGCCAAAAAGAAAACGGCTCCTCCCAAGTGGCCCAGCCACGGTTCCCTGATGCTCAGCCCTGAACTCAGGGAATACGGACAGTTGCTGACAAATTTCAGGGAATGAAAGGCAAGTGGCCGGGGACATGCCAGCCAAAAAGGTTTGCCAAAGCACCTTCAGACACACCCGAGGGCTGAAAAAAAAGAAGCTCCCGAGTTGCACATTGGGCGTCTTGAGACTCTTGGAGCCCAGGATTGTAGAACAGCGCATGGAGGCAAACATAGAATGATGCTTGATGCACACATGCACGTCTTCGGCATATTGCTTGGTCTTGCGCGGGTTCATCGGGTGAGCGACGGATCCGAAGAATCCCTGGTCCAGCCACGTCCACACGGTGGCTTGATGGAGCCTGCGTGGTAGTCTTCAGAATGAGAAGGTCTCAATGACTTCTTGCCCAAATCGCCGTGGCAACCAAAAAACCGGAATTTCAAGGTAAGTGGACACATGGGCACCAAAACCAGCGGTTTGCCCCTCCCTTGGCGCCTCTGGCCCCAGTGTACCAGAGCTGCGCAACTTTGTGGGTTAAGCAATCTATGTCACGTGCCCCAGTGTCGACACTGCAGGAGCGTGACATGCCATCTTACCCTTCTGTACAAGAGTGCCACAGATTGGCACCTGGATTGTCGAATTCCTTTACCACAACGGGATACAAGGACAGCACAAAACCACACCGCAACGGGCGCAAAGTAATTACCTCACAGCTTGGATTCGACCAGGGGGTCCAGAAGTCCAACATCCACCAGGAAATTTTGGCCACCCCTGGTTGTGGCCAGCTCCTCCTGGTGCCTTGCGATCAGCCTGATGGCCTCCTGCGAGTCCACGCGGCTGTCGCGCAGCAACGCGCGGGCCACGTAGCTGCCGTACTGCGTCTTGGCCAGCTCAAGCACTTGCTCTGGCTGACCAAGCTTGAAGAGCAAGGCCTCCTGTTCGGCAGGCTGGCAATAGCACAGCACCTTCTCGAGAAGGTAGCTAGAGTTCTTGCCGGTGGCATAGCGGAAGGGGTCGGACAGCAGCTCATCTGCGATTTGCTTCTTGTGCTGGTCTTTGCCATTCTCCAGGATGGACTGCATGACGTGTTGGGCAAAGCTGTGGCTGCAAAGGCGCGACACATCTTGCAGCAGCTCATCAACCAGGCTCGAGGTGGTGTCTGACGGGCAGAACTCCAGCAAACGACACAGGACTCGGCAAGCAAACCGATGCTTGGCCACGCGTGTGGCATTTCCCTCCAGCTCCTGCGCCACAAACCTGCTGGATGCAAGCGAGAGGTGCGACACCACCTTCTGCACCACGTAGTTGCCGTAGGGGCACATTGCTGCTTCGAGCGCGTGCCCATGTAGCTCCGTGGCAAGGTCGGCGGCATCGCGTGTCCCCAGCTCCAGCACATCTTGCACCAGCCGGCAGCCCGCTGCATCCCGCGAGCATGCCCACACCCGGCCCCGCATGCGCTGGACAACTGCCTCGGGATCTGCAGCTCATCCCGGAGCTGCTCGATGCCTCAGTTGTTCAGTGACCCTGGGAAAGAAGGGAACCCTTTTGGCACACGGCGGGCGACGATTCGCCGGCTGACGGAGGGGCATGCCGCCCAACCATCTGTCCAGGCCTAGTGGGACAGGTGCCCACCAGTGACACATACCACAGACTGTGGCAGAAAGCACACGACGAGGTGAGACAGCCTCCAAGGGCAGGGAGCCCTCTCATCCAGCCCACATCACGTAGGCCCAGCGGCACAGGCCGCAAGCGCCACTGCAACCAGCGCCATCAAGCGAGGGACCCCAGGGAAAAGGCCCAATCGCGAGGGACGCGGCCCAGACGGGCCGCCCGCATCCGAGTCCTCTCAAGGAAGGCATCTTCCTCTGGAGTGCACAGCAGGCGCACTCCAGAGAAGGCCCCCCGGGGCCACGCCAGGCCCGCATACGCACCGAAACGGGGCTCCCACTTGCCTGGAAAAGCAAGAGGGGCCGTCCGGGTGACACAACGCCGAGCTGCTTTGAAGTGCACCAGCAGGTCCTGCACTGTGGCAGCGCGGCCGTCCTGATAGGGCAGGATGACGGGGTAGCGCCTCCACACCACCAACGCAACCGCCAGGCCCGGCTGAAAGGCCTCCTCAGCGCGTAGCCAAACTGCACCATGTAGGAAGCTGCTCCACGCCTCCCAGGACGAGGCACCCATAACCCAATCATCAGGCTTCCCCGGCGGGGGAAAAGCAGCGCAGAAACGCGGAGGGCCATGGCACGGGCCCGGTGCAGACTCCGGGGGAGGGGCAGGAGCCACAGGGCACAGGGCTTCACCAGGGTCAGGGGCAGGCACAGGGGGAAGGGGGGTGCGCGGCAGGGCAAGAAACAGGCTCTGCAACCACAAGTGACGGCGGTAGGTGGCAAAGAAGAGAGCATCAAGCCTGCGGGCAGGGACAGCCAAGGAAACCCGAGCGGCAGACTTGGCCGCAAGGTCAGCAGCATGGTTGCACCGAGCATGCAGGGCCTCAATTGGATGAGTATCAGCCGAGATGACCACGTGGCCTCGAATCCAATGAAGCTCAAGGATGAAACCACCCACAGCACGCGACCGGACAAGAGACCACAGGACCTGCCAAAGGTCAGCAGCCGCTATGTGGGGAGCAACCACACCAGCCGCACAAATTGCCTGCCACGCCTGGACGGCAGACTGGGAGTCGGTATGCACAACCAGGTGCCCCCGAGCGTGCATGGCCGCACGCACAATGGCATACACCTCCGCACGATAGTTGTCCGCAAAAACACCCGGAACCGCACCAGCATCGACAGTGGCGCGCGACCCAGACACGACGGCATAGCCGGCAGCGGCCAAGAAAGGGTGCTGCGGCAAGTAAACGCTACCATCAGTCCAGAGGTGAGTGGCGTGCCCAAGGCCATGGCGCGGCCAAGGGGAAGTAGGAGGCCACGGCTGGGCAGCACAGAACGCCGACTGCAGATCGGCAGGGACCTCAAGCAGACCATGAGTGGCAAAGGCAGGCCCCTGATCAGGAACAAGAGGGGGGGGAGTGCCAACCTCCTCAGGCAGGGCCTGACACTCAACGAGGTGACCAATGGTCTCCTGTTCCCGCCCACAATACCGACAGAGGGGGCTACCTGACAGGCCCGAGGCATGGAGCCGGTCCGCAGTGACAGCCGAACCAACAACAACCGCCGGGGCCACAGCCTTCCTGGAGGGCAGGAGACGGGAAAAGGAGGTCCACCGCGGGCACGGGGGAACACTCCAGGGAGAGCGAGAAAAGGCCACATCCAGGAGACCAGTAGGACCATGCGCAATGTCCGCACGCTTGCCCCGGCAGGCCCTGGCATAGGCATGCTGAGGAATAGTCCACTGGAGCAAACGCTTAAGCGAGCGCAGAGACATGCCAAACAGGGAGAGCCAGGGGCCATGATCAAAGGCAACGGAGGCAGGGGCCTGAAACCGGAGACCGCACGCAGTGAGCGCCGACACAAAGGTGGCCACAAGGGTGGAAGGCAGCAGGCGCTGATTGGTAAAGGCGATCCGCCACTTGAGGCTGAAAACCTCCGAGCGCTGGAGATGGGCCGCAACATTAAGAATAGTGCGGTATGGCAGCGCATACTCAGGATGGACCAAGTGGCCGGGGTGGACAACCGCGAGCAGGAGTTCCCGGGACCTCCACATGGGCCGACCATCCCAGAGCACTGAGGCAACCTCCGAAGCCAAGGCAGAAAGGATGCGCTTGGGCACAAAGTTGAGCTCAGCGGCATACGACAGCATGGGCATGGCCTTGCGAGCAACATAGGACGCTTTAGAGGCAGCAGAGAGCGGAAGGCTCCTGATGGCCCGGAGTGCTCGCCTGAAGCTCGCAACAGCCGGTGCACGGGCATCCCGGGTACCGCGGAGGTCAAGGTTGATTGTGACCCCCAAGGGGCGCAAGGCCTTCAGACGGGGAGCCTGCGGCAAGGCAGGCTGAAGCTCCGCCACACAAGCATCCTGAGTGGCCCACCAACCGGACTTGTGGAGGTTGAACTGCTGGCCAGCGAGGGAGTCAAAGAGAGACGTAGCACGGACGGCCTGGACCAAGCTGGGGATCGCATCCAAGGTGGTCACGGTCATATACCCGTCATCAACAAAGACACGGGGTGTGACACCAGGGAAGTGCCGTATCAAGAGGGACCACGCTGTCATCAGCACATTTGCCGCAAGCACGGACATGGAGCACCCCTGGGCAATACCATTGTGGTTGGCCAGGGGCTCAGGGTGAACCGCTCCACGCCAGGACAAAAAGCGACGAAAGCCCTCGTAGTTCCCACACCAGGCGCGAGCAACGGCCACAGGGAAACCCAAGGCAGTGAGGAGCGCCACAATCTGCCGAGGCATAAGGCGATCAAAACACTTGGAGCGATCAACCTGGATGCCCGCAAAGGGGGCGTCAGTGGCACGCGCCTCATGGAAATCCAGCGCCATGTGATGGGTGATATCCTCCACACGGCGACCAGGGACACCACCGACAACCTCAGGCGGTAACACAGCCCGTTGCCACGAAGTGGAGGCTCGAAACCTTGCCGACGACCACGCCAGGTAGCAGATAGGAAGGACGGCAATGAGCCTCTTGGACAGAGGGGCGGGGCCAGCACCCTTGTCCAGAACAGCCAAGCGAGCAGTGCCGAATATGCGCGGCATGGGCCACCGGCCCAGCTCCACCTGCTGAAGAAGATAGGCGAGGAGCCGGAACACAGGGATAGGCAGTGCGCGGAGCTCAACGGCCCTCCACCCGTCCAAGCCAGCAGACGAATCAGGGCTCCTGCGAGCAACAGACGCAGCCAGGTCCTCAGCAGACACGGGGTCCAAAACCAAGGGAGAGGCACGCTGCTCAAGGAGATGCTGGACAGGGCGCATGAGCGGATCCACAGGAAAGTCCTCCGCATGCACCTCAAAGATAGTGTTCCACTGGTCCGCAGCGTGCGCAAGGGCGACTGCAGGGTGGTACGCCGGGGCACCATCAGGACCAGCCAGGGAGTTGGAGTGAGCAGCCAGGGTGGCACTGCGCAGGTGAGCGAAGACCTCCTTACCTGAGTGAAGGGCCGAATGGCGGAGACGCTCCTTCCAACGCGCAACAGCGGCTCGCTGCCGCGTGAGGTGGGCATCACGGAGGGCAGCCTCAACCCTCTCACACAAAGGGGCAACACCCACCGGGGTGAGGTCCTCAGCCGTATAGGCAAACCGAAGTTCCCGAGCGACACGGCAAAAGCGCCTAAGGGTGCGGTGCGTGACCTGAGCATCAGCAACCGAGGTAAGCGGGAGCCGCACCAACCGATAGAAGAGCTCCCGCGACAGAGAAAGAAGTCTAGCCAAGCGGGCAATGGGATGGTATGAAGGAAAGGGGCGCCCGACGGCCTGCTGGGGGCGCAGCGGGGGCAGGGTACCCCGGCAACGGCGGCCGCGCCCCCACCGGGCACCAGACTGGAGAAGAGTGGCAAGCGCAAAGTCACAAAAAAGAGACCAAGCATCCTCCACAGTTCCAAGGGAATCCAGGGCGGGCCGGTACGTAGACTGCCACATGTCCTCGGCAAGAACAGCACGCTGGTCCTCAGAGACAAGCCCAGACAAGTCGAGCGGAGCAAAGCCAGCGAAGGCAACAGCCCGTGGGACCTCATCCGGAGCCGCAAACCTCAAGGTCACAGGGGCATGCTGAAATCCACACAAGGGCTCCACTTCAGCCGACTGGAGCAGGCGAGAAGCAAGGCCGTTGAGCAAAACCGTGTCGATGGCCGTACGGGGGCCAGACCCAAGCCAGGTCTTGTCACGACTGAAAGTGGGCTCCCTCATAGTCGCCTCCGTCGGAGGCTGCAAGGGGTCCAGCCAGACCCCGGTAGCAACAGCATCGTCACACGCCGCGTATGCCAAGGGGTCGGCCTGGAAATCGCCGGCAAGGACCACAGGGTGATCAGCAGTGTACTGGGCTGCAAACTCAAAGATGGCAGCGAGGTAGTCCTGATTCTGGCTGAAGATCACATCATCAGAGGAGGCACCCGAAATCGCATAAAAGTTGAGCGCAAGCATGCGAAAAGAACCAAGCGTGGCCCACACAGCATGGAAGCGGCCAGAAGCCAGTAGGGAGGGCAGAAGCCCAGATGCATCCTGCTGAGGAGCAACAGGATGAACAACGCATTTCCAGGCCAGGGAGGCAACACCCCCCCACTCCACCCGACGGACACCATTCACGTCAGGGACAACGGGGAGCAAGGGGCCAGGCAAGAGAGAACGGCCGGCCTCAGACGCCCGAAAAGTAACAGAACGCACATTGTCAGCCGAAAGGCGGGCCTCCTGAACCAGGAAGAGGTGAGCATCGACAGAGTAGAGCTCAGGATGGGCCGCCAGAGAACCGACATTGTGGGAGCGCAAGGAAAAAGGGCCCTCACCAGGAAAGCCGCGAGTGGCATCAAAAACACGGTACAGCAACAGCCACCAA